ATAGATTAAAAGTATCTCTTATTTGAAAAACATTAAATGTAAATATAGATAAAGTTTATATTTGTATATAACAAGCAAATACATTGAAATAACTATATTTAAAAATATAATATTAAAAGAGTAAACTAATAAAGTCTTTAATTCCTTTAGATTTCCATTTGATTTTGCGTTATATAACTCAGTTGTGTAACAATTATATAACATAGAGATAAATATCAGTAATCGATTAAATATAAGTTTGTAATAATAATATTGATATATGAAATTTCATCTTATATTGAATTATATTTTTCTTAGAATTAATGGAATCTAATATTTATATATTCAATATATAGTTTAATAAATAAAGTTATATTTTGTTATCTTATAAGGAAAAATTGTTTTTTTAAACAACAGTATTTTTGTACACATTATTACTTAAGACAAAAACATAAAATTATAGATTAAATATGTTATTTAATTTTTTGTTAATAATATTTGGTATTAGTCCTAATTACAAACCAATCAGTCACACAATGTCAGCATTGCTATTGATGTCATACATTATGATTATAACAACTATTGCCAGTGAATTGTTTAATAAAAATAAACTAATAAATGATAAAATCATTATGTCTATAGCTATTGTGAAACGTTTAATATTTATCTATGTTTATTTTTATATTAAATTAAAGTCAACTGTATTACTTGATTTATACTATGAATTAAATAATTATTGTCAAAAATATCAAGTAATTGTCAAACAAATAAATTCAATTATATTTATAATAATATTCACATTAATCTATATAATAAATGTATATTGTATGTTTATTGATAATTTATTTAAAAACTATACTAAACTAACTGTTTATAACATAACACTTGAATACTACATACACATACCGTGGACCATGTTTTTCCAGATGGCTTCACACGTGCTAATACAGTACACGTGTTTTGAGATCTACTATACATATCTTTGCGTATTGAAAGCAATGAACACGCGTTTGGAATGTTTGGCACATATTGTTACCAAAGAATCGATGTACGAAATCACGTGCGTTTTGGACAAGTTTGTCGTAAACAATATAACAATGAACAAGTACATTTTGCGTAATCTCAAATTTACATTTATTATGCTATTATTGTCAATGATTTCGTATATTAATAAAATCTATTTGTCTATAAACGATAAAAATTATCTAGCTGCACTATTAGAATCTATTATTATTTTATTATCACTAAGCTATTCAATAAGTATTTATTTGATAATTTTCATAAATAAATGTTATTTTGTTAAAATTGTTAAACATTTGAAAAAGATAAAAATTGATTTAATCAATTTTGTATAAAAAATTAACTATTTTTAAATGCATGAATAATTTAAAAAATTAATTCAAACTATATTTATTTAGTGCTAGTTTTAAATATAAATATATTTTATTTATAAATGTTACATCTAACTGACTGAAATGATGTTTTATGTATTAACAAATATAAAATGTAAACTAATATTTATTCAAAAAAATACATAATTTGTATTTTTTATGTAATTTTATGAAAAATATTTAAAATAAATAAAATTTTCGAAAAATTAGTATTTATTTTTTGTATGTACAGTATATTACTATTTTAATAAGTTGTTAACAAAATATAGTTACACTATTTATATGATTATCAGAAAATAAGTTTTTTAATAAAAATTTTGTTTGGTTAACAATAATATAAATAAGAAAAATAATATTTTATTAAAATTAAATTTTATTAATAAGTCTATTTATAATTTATCTTATCTTATTTATAGCTTTATCATTAATAATAATTTTTCTTATTATTAGATTTCTTTATAGATGCAATAATAGATGCATAAAAATAATATATATTTTTATGCAGACAGAAAACATGTTTTTAGTTTACATAAAAATTTGCATATCTATAATATAACTTTGATGACATTTACTACTATGTTTTTAGAATAAAAATAATATAATGATAACAAATAACATATAGTATAATATTTTTAGTATACTTTATTGACATTTTATTTATATTATTAAATAAAAAACTAATTCTACATTATTGAAACTATCAGTTCAATATTTCACATAATAAATTGATATATCTATTAAAATATATTGATTATTCAACTAAATCTTTAAATGAATGTTAATATAAAGTTGTTATATAATTGTTATATAACTATTATATAACTAATAAATAAATAACAATTAAGTTTTCTTATTAACTTTTTTGTTTTGTTTATTAACTCTCTATATAAATAAAATGTCATTATTGAATGTATTGATATATTAAATGCTAGAAATGTCTAGATATCATTAAAACATTTTTTGTAAATTGGTTTATTTATTGTTAACAATAAAGTATATTAATAATATTATAAAAATATTTATCTTGTTAATATAAAAAACAGTTGAATAATAATATTATTGTAATAAAGTAAAATTATAATTTTATAGCTATATATATATTCTGTATATATTCACTATATAAATATATATAATATATATATATTATATATTTGAATTTTGATATATTCTACTACTTTTATTACAGTATTATAGTTTGGACGTTTTAGTACAAAATAAAATGTTAACAAAAATTTATTATAAACAAACAACAAACTCGTTAAATAAATATATTTTTAATTATTTTTATATAATTTATTCATAAAACCGATAATATTTAACTATTAAATATTAATTTTTTAAAAATGTTTAAATATGTGTTAATAATTTTCGGCTTAAGTCCAAACTATAAAACAATTAGTCACACAATGTCTGCATTACTATTGATGTCACACATTATGGTTATCACTACTATTGGCACCGATTTGTTTGATCCAAATAAATCATTGAATGATTTAATAATAATGTTATTTGCTATACTCAAGCGCTTTATATTTTTATATATTTACTTACATATTAAATATAACTCAATAATAATGTTTGACTTATATTACGAAATAAAAGATTACTGTAAAAAGTATCGAGTATTTGGAAATCAATTAAATTCAATTATATTTACAATAATATTCACAATTATCTATTTAATTAACGTCTACTGTATGTTCATTGATAATCTATTTAAACAATTTACCCGAATATCTGTTTACAACATTACATTTGAATACTATACACATATACCGTGGACTATGTTTTTCCAGATGGCTTCACACGTGCTAATACAGTACACGTGTTTCGAAATCTACTATTCGTATCTTTGCGTATTGAAAACAATGAACGCGCGATTGGATTGTTTGTCACGTATTGCTACCAAGGAATCAATTTTCCAAATTACATGCATTTTGAATAAATTTGTTTCGACTAATTCAACAATGAGCAAGTACATATTAAACAATTTAAATTATACATACATAACGCTATTGTTGTCGACAATATCTTATTTGAAAAAAATCTATTTATCAATAAATGATAACAATTTTCTGGCTGCTTATCTTGAATCTTGTATTATTCTATTATCTATTGGCTATTCACTGGCAATCTATTTAATTATTTGGAAAAATAAATGTTACCTTGATAATATTGTTAGTCGATTAAATTTGATTAAAGTCGATCTTATTAATATGATTTAAACTAACATTTCACAAAACTGGCAATAATTTATTAATACAATAGTATTTTTTATTTATTTATTTATACATTTCTTAGTTATTATTTAATTTAATCTATTTAACGTATTTCATCTTTAATGTTTAATACAATAATTAAATTATATTAATAATAACTAATAATATTGTAATATTAAAATGTAATCAGTAATAAAATGTTTATTTTGTTTAATAACTTATAATATAAATTATATTTTGATGTAAATGATTTATTAATAATGTGATCCCCATGTTAATTTTGTTATCTCGATACTTGAGATCAATACATTAAATATTATTATTATTTTAATTATTTATTAATTAAACTATATTAAAATATTATATATATAATAAAATGAATAAAATTTCACAAAACTGATTATTATTAAATAATAATTATATATATATATATATAGGTATCACATTTGTATAGTACTGTATTTATTTAAAATTTAGTTATTTCTTAAAAACCTTCAATTTGCACATCTCTAATAGTAATACTTATTATAAATTATAATAATTTAGTACTTAAAATGATGCACTAATATTATACAACTTTAACTACAAAATAACGAAATACAGATCACAATTTAAATTTATTTATATAAACATTATTAGTTAAAACCATATTTTTATACAATATTAAAAAACATATATAAAAATTTTTAAAGTATGAAAAAATTGTTATAAAGCATGTTTTGTATTGATGTGCTGTTAAAAATGTAATAAATGTAATTTTTGTCGTCTAAATATTATATAAATTATATAAAAATATATTATTATTATAAAGTAGATATTCTGTATTATGTCTTAAAATACTGTAATTACATTTTATGTATCATATTTGGTTTAATTGCTATTAAATTTATTTATTGTATCAATAAAATAAAAGTCTTAAAATAATAAAATCAATAAAATATAAGCATTTATCATTTAATAATAACTATTTGTTAAAATGTTAAAAATAGATATTATTAGTAGAAATAACTTGTAGTTACAAAAATACTATTACATATTTATATATTGTGTAACAAATATTTATTATACTTAGTAATAAATATATAAGTATTCAATATAACACATATTAATATTTATTAATATTAAAAACAGTGTACTCATCTTTAAAAACTATCAATAATAATAAACAAAGATATTAATTGTTTAATATATTTTATTTTTTGTAATTGTTTTCAAAATTGTTATTAAGTTGTTACTAAAATACTTAATAAATTTACAATCTTAATTATAATATAATTATAATGTTTATTTATTACATTTTTATAACTACAATTGATAGTAGCAAATTATAGTCTATAAAAATATATTATTATTATATTTGTTAAATTATTTATTGTAAATTTATATTATTATACGTTATATTATATATTCGTTAAAATATAGAAACTGTGCGATCGTTTAATGATTGAATTTGTCGCCGATTTGTTAGTAATTTTTTGCCTGAACTCTGTTGTAAATCACGAAATACCTTAATCTTAAAAACAAAATAAAAACTAAAAATATTACTTTTTATTATAAAGCTTTTTTTAAAAAAATAACTAAAACATACTGTGAGTTATATATATATATATTTATAATAATTGAATTAAAAAATATATCAAACCTGATCGCTACTAATTGCAATAGGGTTCTTATATAATAGCCAGGTCACTGTCTCAAAACAGGGCGGTATTGTAAATGATCCCTGGTATCTATAGTTTCCATTTTTGTCATTTGGCAACAATTGATTCAATTGAAAATTGTCATCACTTGGTATAACAAGTGTTGAATTGTATAAATATATTTTTTGCGCCGCTTTTGTCAAAAAATTTAAGTTTATGTTAGGACAGAGACTAAGTTTAGCTAATACTCCTATCACTAGCAGTCCATTAGGTTTAGTCATAGCTTTTTCCATTGATTCATATTTTTCATTATAGTGCACCAAATGTATCTTGATACAATAAAAAAATAATTATTTTATTAGATTAAAAAAGTCTTTATATATATATATTAATATAGTAAGGTTACAGGGTTAAGTAAGGGGGGGTAAGGCCAAAATACCCCCCTCCTAAGATCGAGAATTTGGGATTTTACCCCCCAGACTTTTTGACCAAATTGGAAAAATTGTCGCTTAAAAACGAGGAGAAATGACCCCCCCCCCTAAAATTTCGGCGCCGAAATTTTTTTTAAGTCTTCAAAAATTTTAATTTTAATTAAAACTATTTTAGTATGTGTTTTTATGTTTTTAAAATTTATATAAATTTAATTATTGATTATAAATAAGTAAAAAAGTTAAAATAACGTTAAAACTCATCAAAAAATAACATAATTTTAATTAAAATATTAAACTAAAAAATTAAAAAAATTTTACCTTTTTTCCTGGGAATTTATACGGGAACTTATGGGAATATTCGGGAATTTAAGGGAATATTAGGGAATTTTCTCTGGACCCCCCCCTTGATTTTGGATTTTTGAAAAAATTGCCATTTAAAAATGCAATAAAAATCTTACCCCACCCAATACACCCCCCCCCAAGATTTTTCGAGAATTTTGCAAATTTTACCACGGTCTACCCCCCCCCTAAAATCCAAAACCTTGCTTAACCCTGATATATATATCATACACTATAAATTTATTATTTCTAAAATTATTTATTCTAATAATATTAATATTTTTTCTAAATATATTGTGTTTCTAATTACAATTAAACTTTTATCAAATCTAATCCTAATAAAAAACAAAAGATAAACCACATTAGGCGTGGTTCACATATTACGTTCGCACTTGAGGGGAGGGGTTGGGCAAAGCGAACTTTTGCGAACGAGGAGGAGGAGGGGAGGGGTATAGTCTTTAAGAACGTTCGCATTTAGATAATATTTTATTTCTTGTGATGGGTGATGGGGGGTAGGTAGCGGTTAGAGAATTTTTTTAAGTGACTACATAGGGAAGTGAGGGGGTCTAGATCTCTTAAAAAGTGCGAACGTAATATGTGAACGACGCCTTTGTTTAATTATAATTATAACCAATTAGATAATTAACTATATATTATATTTCATATTATATAATAAATAAAAGTTAAAAATATTATCATTTAATTGACAAATTAATTATATATCTTAAGTATTTTTAAATACCTCTGCGGCTGAAAATTTATTATCAATACTATGTTCACTGCCGTTGTCGTCCTGATTGCCCCAATGTATATGAAACCTATCAAAAATGTACATGGTCGATTCAAAATCAATACCCGGCTTAGTTTTTGAATGTTGAATGATTGTTGAAATCGAATAACCAGTATTTAGTACATTATAGACATAATTTTTATTATCATAATTATAATATTTGAATGACATTTCCTTATTTTTCAATGTTTTAGTTTCAATGTTTATCGGAGACTGTTTTCTGCCACCACATTGTGAAAACTGTTTTGACCAGTTTGATTCATCTAGATAATATATATATTTATTTATTTATTTATAATTATAATTATATATTAATATTCAAGCAATTATGTTTGAATAATGGTGTTTAAAATAAATTGTTTTGTTTTAATTAATTAAATATTAACACTACCATAATAGGTCCATTGAAAGCATAAATAAGTTGAAAATTGTATTAAAATTATTAAAATTATTAACATTTTGGTAAATATAAAAATTAGTATTTAAAAATATTTTGCTCTATTATTTATGATATAATTTTTTAAACATATAATCCCGAGTGATCTATATATTTATATAACTTTATATTTTTTTTATTTATTAAATTATTATAAATGTTATATTTTTTGTTGCATAATTTTCTAATTAAATTTTTAATTAATACATAAATGTTATATATAAAGTAATTATGTAATTAGATATTGGATTTTAATATTTAATTAATAGTTTTTACACACGTGAAGTTATTAAAAATAATTTATTTAAAGTATGTTTTATAATAATAAAAATATTTGCAAATAAATTGAGATTTATAATCTTTAAAATTTGATATTTTTACTACTAGTTATGTAATAAACATTAATATTTAATAAAAATATATTTTGTTTTTAATATAATATTAATAGTATTATAAAATTATTTTTTTATTTTAAATAAATTAACTTTTATTTTAATAATAGTAGTAATAATATTAACTTTAGTAAATTAATACAATAATTATTATTATTATAAAAACACATTGAATGGAAATAATAGTATTTCTAGAAATTTTGTTTTGAAATAAAATTACAACAATTCGATTAATTTGAAAAAAACAATTATAAATTTATATTAAAAAATCAACGAGAAATATAAAATAATAATAAAAAAAATATATTTAATATTTATCTATAAAATTATCGTATATTTGTTAAAATAAAAAAACTGTTCGTCCATTCAATGGTTGAATATTTCGAAGATTTGTTAATAACTTTTTGCCTGAACTCTGTTGTAATCCACGAAATACTTTGATCTAAAAAATTGACAAAAAATAAATTAGAAAATAAACTATTGATTGTAAGTCAAACACATTATATATATTAATTAAATACAGATAGTTATTTAAATTATTTTTTTTAAAACTAGAAAAATTAACATTAAAACATAAAAAATAAAATAATGATGAATTAAAAAAAGCGAGCATAGTAAACCTGATCGCTACTAATTTCAATTGTGTTTTTAAAGATCAGCCAGGTAACTGTCTCATAACAGGGCGGTGTTGTAAGTGATCCCTGGTATCTGTATATCCCATTTAAATTAATTGGAAACAACTGATCCAATTGAAAATGACTATTACTTTGTATGACATGTGTTGCATGAAATGAACTTATTTTTTCAGCCGCTTTTGTTAACAAATTCAAGTTTCGGTTAGGACTGGGACTGTGTTTAGCCAATACACTCAACACTAACAGTCCATCGGGTTTAGTCATAGCATTTACAAGGGATCCATATTTTTTATTGTAGTGAACAAAATGTATCTAAAGTTAAAATTTAAAAAAAATATTTTTTTTCATATATTAGATTCAATTTTAACATTCAATAGCATTAATAATTTAAAGTATAGAAACATTAAAATAGTTATAAATTTAATATAATTAAAAATGTTTTATTATATAAAACTGTATATAATATATAGTCTATAATATAGACTCTATATACTACTATATAATATAATAAATAAATAAAAATTATATTATTTTAATTAACTATATTTTGTTATAAATACCTCTGCGGCTGAAAATTTATTATCAATACTGTGTTCACTGCCTTTGTTATCTTGATTGCCCCAATGTATATGAAAACTATCAAAAATGTACATGGTCGATTCAAAAACAATACCAGGCTTAGTTTGTGAATTTTGAATAGTAGTTGAAATTGTATGGCCATTATTATGAACATGATATACATAATTTTTAAAATTATAATTTTCTACTCTAAACCATAATTTTGTATCTTTTACAGTCTTAGTGTTAATGTTTATCGGTGACTGATTTTGACCACTGCATTGTGAACTATCTTTTGACCATGATGATTGATCTATTTATACAAACAAAAAAGTTTATATATATTATTAGTTGTATTAATAAAATAAATTATATTGATTGATTTTTTCTGTTAAAAAAATATTGGTTATACCACTGTAACTCCAGCATAGAAAACTAGAAAATAGACTAAAAAATATTAAATATTTCAACATGATAATTTAAATATAGTCTAATATTAGATAAGTTAGTCAAAGCTATTTTGCTGTTTATATATATAATAATAATTGTTTTCTCAAAATCTAAGATTTTATTTGTAAAATAAAATTATAAACTACTAAAAGTTTTTTAATACTAAAGTTATTTATATACTTTGTATAAACTATTTGTTTATTATTAATTAATCATTTTTATTGAATTAATTACACGTGTTTATTTTTTTAAAATTCCATTTATATTTAATAAAACAATGTACTAATATATTATTATTATTATTATTTTACACATTTTATAATTACAATCTAAACTACATTTTTTATTTATAGTATTATATTTTATTACAGTTCAATGATAGTATAAAATTTGTTATTAAAATGATTATTTGTGTTTTTATTGACTTTAATAAAGTTAACTGAAATTTTAATTACTATCATTAACTTGTAAATAATTAATGAATAATTAATTAATTTTATTTTATTAGTCGAAAATATCTTATAGACTAATAAATATTAAATAAATCTAAATATTTTATATACTAATTCATAATTTTTTATTATGTTATTAACTATAAAAAAAACTATTATTAAATGTCAATAAATTATATTTTTTATTTTTAATATATTATAGAGTAGTATAATTACATTAGTATTATAATAATACGAGCATTTAATAGCAAATGTATTTGTATTTAGTATAAACATTTGCCGGACTCCTGAATATTTTGCTTTGTTTTGATATTGTTTGCGATTGCAATACAACAGTGTATTTAATACATTTATTATAAGTTATAGACTAATATCAATCATATTATTCCGCTGCACAACATCCCAATCATAGACTATCCTCAAAAACCAAACCCACCCAACATATACACCAATTCCTAAACTTATACCCCATCCACCTCTAAACTAAACCAAACAATGATATAATAATGCATTTATTGCACTATAAAAACGAAGTCCATATTTAGGAGATGAGCCTAAAATAATAACATATCTTCAATACAGTATATATAGCCAATAAAAAACTATTGTATTATGTATTTTAATAAATCAATAATATGTGTGTATTGTGGTAAAAATATTAATATTGCAAAAATCAATTCATGCTATTTGTTTTAAAATATTTGTATATATACTGTACTAACTTATATGTCTATATGAATGTACAAGATTAAACTTTGTTTAAATTTTTAGTTTTTTAAATATATTATTTTATTATAAATATTTTCTATTATATTAAAGTAATTTACAAAATAATCTCAATTATAAATAAATAATTTATAAATCATATTGCTTATAACAAATAATTAATAATATAATAGTTTACTTATAACTAACAAATTGATTTTTTTCTCTCAAATTCAATTTTAGTAAATGTTAAAAATTATAATAACGTTGAGACAATAATTATTACATTTTAGTTCATAAATATTTAATAATGCAGTGTTTTATATATTAATAGATTTAATTTTCTATTAAATTTTTTACATAACTTAATTTAAATTAATTATCTGTTTTAGCTTATACATGTATCAATGAAAAAACCAAATAATCTTTTTAAAATTTATAGACTTTATTAATAAAATCATTACAATAGGAATTTTATTTAGAAAATTATATTTAATAATTTTCATTACTAATATTAGTTAAATAAATATGAAATTGATTAAATTAGATTGAACCTGATCACACCATATTAAGTTAAATAAATTGACTATCAATTTATTTAATATAAAAATAAACATTTAAATTAATAATTTTAATTTTAAAATATACTGTAATTTTTATTGTTATGTAAATTAAATAACATCTATATTATATACTGAACTAATATTTTAAATCAACCAAGTAATACATATAATGCTAGAGACAAAAAACAAAATTATTTTTGTTTGAAAAAACTAATAAAAATTTATCTACTAATATTTATTAAATAAACTTACTTAAAAAAGTATTTATTACAATATTAAGTAAGAACTTTACATTTACATTATATACGTGTATATAGTGTACATTAAATAATGTATTAATAATACAAAATTGATACATAATGTATACATTATATATTTATATTTATTCTATATTACAAAAATATAATGAGTCTATTCAACAGTGAATAGACAACAAAATAACTTAATATAAGTCTTTAGTAAACATTTTATTAAAGATAGATATTATACTATATAAAGTATAACTTTTAGTTTTTTTTGATAATAAAATTTTTAATTATTATTTTTTTTGAACCCTATTACTACACAAATAAAAAACTAAAAAAAATTATAATTATTTTTAAAAAATGTAAAAGATTTTTTGTTTTATAAATTTTATTTAAAAAATATTATATTAATATATATAAAAATATTAACATTAAATTTTGAATATAAAAATAACAATAATAATTTATTTTAAATAACAAAATAATAATTATAATAATTTTGACTAAACTATTGACTATTTTATAACTTTTACTATAATTAATAGCTATTATTAAATAAAAACAACAATTTAGTTTAATGCGATATTAAGTGGACTGTATTTAGTTGATTGGGTGGCAATGTTTATTGGGGTTTGTTTTCTGCCTCCACATTGAGAAAAGTGGCTAGGCCATTTTGCTTGATCTGTTCAAATAAACAATATAATTTATATATATAAAAAATGATTTGTATATATATATATATATACTGGTTATAATATTGATATTACCATTGTAACTCCAGTCAGCGCATAAAAAACTAGAAATTAGACTAAAAAATATTAAATATTTTAACATTATAATAAAAGATTTTAGTAAAAACTTGATTTAAAATATTAGTTATAAAATATATTAGTTCAGTATATAATATAGATGTTATTTAATTTACATAACAATATAATTTAAAAATAATTATTAATTTAAATGTTTATTTTTATATTAAATAAATTCATAGTCAATTTATTTAACTTAATGTGATCAGGTCTAAGTTAATCAATTTCATATTTATTTAACTAATATTAGTAATGAAAATTATTAAATATAATTTTTTTTAATAAAATTCTTATTGTAATGATTTTATTAATAAAGTCTATAAACTTTTAAAAGTCTATTTGGTTTTTTCCATTGCTATATGAATAAGCTAAAAAAGATAATTAATTTAAATATTAGTATGTATTTTAAATATTTTTTAACTAATAAATATATCCTCGTATAAGAATAAAATAATTTCTCAATTTATGCAATTCATAATCTTAAATAATTATAATATTGTATTATTTATATCTTAACACTCTTTAATAATTGCATAAAATATGATTTTTCATCCAAACTACGTCTTTAATGAAAATTAATATAATTATAATCTAAAATTAAAAGTTGCAACTTTTTATTAAATAATTAATTTTATTTAAAATTGATTCAACAATTTTTATAATCATGATTATTAATGTATATAATAAGATTATGAATTGCATAAATTAAGAAATTATTTTATACTTATACGTGGATATATTTATTAGTTAAATAATTTTTTTTTTAAATAAAAAGAATAATTTAGTAATCAATTTTAATATTTATGAATATTTAATATTTGTAAAAAGGTATATAAACCACTTAATAAACTTATCTAATTTTATAAGATTTTTTAGAAATAAAAATTTATTTACTAAAAAATAATTGTCTTGCATTTACTTGCTATAGTTAAATATTTTTTGACTAAAATCTTTTATTATAATGTTAAAATATTTAATATTTTTTAGTCTAATTTCTAGTTTTTTATGCGCTGACTGGAGTTACAATGGTAATATCAATATTATAACCAGTATATATATATATATATATATATACATATCATTTTTTATATATACAAATTATATTGTTTATTTGAACAGATCAAGCAAAATGGCCTAGCCACTTTTCTCAATGTGGAGGCAGAAAACAAACCCCAATAAACATAGAGACACAATCAACTAAATACAGTCCACTTAATATCGCATTAAACTATTTTGATCACAAATTTAGCTATAAATTGGTAAACAACGGTCATTCCGCTGCCCTTACTATTACTGATGCTCTAAAACCTTCAATTAATTTGGATTCAGTCACATATATGTTTGATAACTTACACATTCATTGGGGCACTAATGACAACAAAGGCAGTGAACATAGTATTGATAATAGATTTTATGCCTCAGAGGTACTAATGTTTTCTTTATTTATTATATTTAAATAATTAATTTATAAAAATTTGTATTTATTATTAAATGGATAGTAAGTATAGATACAGTTAATATTTATAAATATTGTAAATAATTATCAAAATCATTACATATTAATCTATTAACTTTATTTGTGTCCTAGCTACATTTTGTGCATTACAATCAAAAATATGGCTCAGTTGCTAATGCTATAAATAAAGCCGATGGACTGTTAGTGTTGGGCGTATTAGCACAACTAAGCCAAACACCGAACCCGAACCTGAATTTATTGACCAAAGAGGTGACACAAATAACGAAATACAAGTCTACAACAACTATACCAACTAATATACATTTACGACTCAACAATCTTATACCAACAAACAGAAATGAAATATTCAGATACCAGGGCTCACTTACAACACCTCCCTGTTCTGAGACAGTGACCTGGATATTGATTCACACACCCATTACTATTGGTAAAGATCAGGTTAGACAAACAATTATATATTTATTTATATATATTACTATATCTCTATTTCTAATAAATTATAATTTCTAATAACTATTGTATATATTTTTTTGTTTTATTATAAATACTGTACTAATATTTATTTATTTATAATATTTTTATTTTTTATTTTAGTTAAATGCTTTTCGTGGTTTACAAGACAATTCTGGCCATAAGTTACTAACTAATCGCCGAAATATTCACCCATTGAATGGACGCACAGTTTATACATCTAAACAAAAATAATATGAAAACAATTTCTTAAATTGTTGTTTTTATTTAATAATAGCTATTAATTATAGTAAAAGTTATAAAATAGTCAATAGTTTAGTCAAAATTATTATAATTATTATTTTGTTATTTAAAATAAATTATTATTGTTATTTTTATATTCAAAATTTAATGTTAATATTTTTATATATATTAATATAATATTTTTTAAATAAAATTTATAAAACAAAAAATCTTTTACATTTTTTAAAAATAATTATAATTTTTTTTAGTTTTTTATTTGTGTAGTAATAGGGTTCAAAAAAATAATAATTAAAAATTTTATTATCAAAAAAAAAACTAAAAGTTATACTTAATATACCAAAGTATACTTATATTCATTTATTTTTATATGTATTCAAAGCATTTTTAAATTAATATTAAATTTTCAATATAGAAAATATCAATTTTTGTACAAATTTATAAATTGTATTTGCGTTACTTCTTTATATATTGTATATTATAAAAATGTTATTAAATTTGTACATAATTTTAATTTTCATTTACTTGTATTCTTAAGGCTCAGAATATTTACTGCACTACACATTATTCATAGACTACCTATAGTTTTGTAATATACGATAAATATAATTATATAATGTATTGATATGTGTTATGTATTAATTTTGTATTAATAATACATTATTTAAAATATATTTGTTTAATACAATTTAGTAATAAAAAAAATTATAAAAAATTATTTAAATATTGACCAAATCTAAAATATAGTTTAAATATTAAAATACCAAAAAATATCTTCAAAAAATAAGTAGTTTTAGTAAACATTTTATTAAAGATATAGATATTATTCTTTGGTATATTAATAATAACTTTTTTTTGATAATAAAATTTTTAATTTTTTTTTGAATCCTATTACTACACAAATAAAAAACTAAACAAAATTAAAAATACTTTTAAAAAATGTAAAAGATTTTTTGTTTTATAAATTTTATTTAAAAAATATTAACATTAAATTTTGAATATAAAAATAACAATAATAATTTTTTTAATAACAAAATAATAATTATATTAATTTTAACTAAATTATTAACTATTTTATAACTTTTAGTATAATTAATAGCTATTATTTAACTTTACATTTATATTATATACGTGTATATACTATACATTAAATATTGTATTATTAATACAAAATTAATACATAACACATATCAATACATTATATAATTATATTTATCGTATATTACAAAACTATAGGTAGTCTATGAATAATGTGTAGTGCAGTAAATATTCTGAGCCTTAAGAATACAAGTAAATGAAAATTAAAATTATGTACAAATTTAATAACATTTTTATAATATACAATATATAAAGAAGTAACGCAAATACAATTTATAAATTTGTACAAAAATTGATATTTTCTATATTGAAAATTTAATATTAATTTAAAAATGCTTTGAATACATATAAAAATAAATGAATATAAGTATACTTTGGTATATTAAGTATAACTTTTAGTTTTTTTTTGATAATAAAATTTTTAATTATTATTTTTTTGAACCCTATTACTACACAAATAAAAAACTAAAAAAAATTATAATTATTTTTAAAAAATGTAAAAGATTTTTTGTTTTATAAATTTTATTTAAAAAATATTATATTAATATATATAAAAATATTAACATTAAATTTTGAATATAAAAATAACAATAATAATTTTTTTAATAACAAAATAATAATTATATTAATTTTAACTAAATTATTAACTATTTTATAACTTTTAGTATAATTAATAGCTATTATTTAACTTTACATTTATATTATATACGTGTATATACTATACATTAAATATTGTATTATTAATACAAAATTAATACATAACACATATCAATACATTATATAATTATATTTATCGTATATTACAAAACTATAGGTAGTCTATGAATAATGTGTAGTGCAGTAAATATTCTGAGCCTTAAGAATACAAGTAAATGAAAATTAAAATTATGTACAAATTTAATAACATTTTTATAATATACAATATATAAAGAAGTAACGCAAATACAATTTATAAATTTGTACAAAAATTGATATTTTCTATATTGAAAATTTAATATTAATTTAAAAATGCTTTGAATACATATAAAAATAAATGAATATAAGTATACTTTGGTATATTAAGTATAACTTTTAGTTTTTTTTTGATAATTAAATTTTTAATTATTATTTTTTTGAACCCTATTACTACACAAATAAAAAACTAAAAAAAATTATAATTATTTTTAAAAAATGTAAAAGATTTTTTGTTTTATAAATTTTATTTAAAAAATATTATATTAATATATATAAAAATATTAACATTAAATTTTGAATATAAAAATAACAATAATAATTTATTTTAAATAACAAAATAATAATTATAATAATTTTGACTAAACTATTGACTATTTTATAACTTTTACTATAATTAATAGCTATTATTAAATAAAAACAACAATTTAAGAAATTGTTTTCATATTATTTTTGTTTAGATGTATAAACTGTGCGTCCATTCAATGGGTGAATATTTCGGCGATTAGTTAGTAACTTATGGCCAGAATTGTCTTGTAAACCACGAAAAGCATTTAACTAAAATAAAAAATAAAAATATTATAAATAAATAAATATTAGTACAGTATTTATAATAAAACAAAAAAATATATACAATAGTTATTAGAAATTATAATTTATTAGAAATAGAGATATAGTAATATATATAAATAAATATATAATTGTTTGTCTAACCTGATCTTTACCAATAGTAATGGGTGTGTGAATCAATATCCAGGTCACTGTCTCAGAACAGGGAGGTGTTGTAAGTGAGCCCTGGTATCTGAATATTTCATTTCTGTTTGTTGGTATAAGATTGTTGAGTCGTAAATGTATATTAGTTGGTATAGTTGTTGTAGACTTGTATTTCGTTATTTGTGTCACCTCTTTGGTCAATAAATTCAGGTTCGGGTTCGGTGTTTGGCTTAGTTGTGCTAATACGCCCAACACTAACAGTCCATCGGCTTTATTTATAGCATTAGCAACTGAGCCATATTTTTGATTGTAATGCACAAAATGTAGCTAGGACACAAATAAAGTTAATAGATTAATATGTAATGATTTTGATAATTATTTACAATATTTATAAATATTAACTGTATCTATACTTACTATCCATTTAATAATAAATACAAATTTTTATAAATTAATTATTTAAATATAATAAATAAAGAAAACATTAGTACCTCTGAGGCATAAAATCTATTATCAATACTATGTTCACTGCCTTTGTTGTCATTAGTGCCCCAATGAATGTGTAAGTTATCAAACATATATGTGACTGAATCCAAATTAATTGAAGGTTTTAGAGCATCAGTAATAGTAAGGGCAGCGGAATGACCGTTGTTTACCAATTTATAGCTAAATTTGTGATCAAAATAGTTTAATGCGATATTAAGTGGACTGTATTTAGTTGATTGTGTCTCTATGTTTATTGGGGTTTGTTTTCTGCCTCCACATTGAGAAAAGTGGCTAGGCCATTTTGCTTGATCTGTTCAAATAAACAATATAATTTGTATATATAAAAAATGATATGTATATATATATATATATATATATACTGGTTATAATATTGATATTACCATTGTAACTCCAGTCAGCGCATAAAAAACTAGAAATTAGACTAAAAAATATTAAATATTTTAACATTATAATAAAAGATTTTAGTCAAAAAATATTTAACTATAGCAAGTAAATGCAAGACAATTATTTTTTAGTAAATAAATTTTTATTTCTAAAAAATCTTATAAAATTAGATAAGTTTATTAAGTGGTTTATATACCTTTTTACAAATATTAAATATTCATAAATATTAAAATTGATTACTAAATTATTCTTTTTATTTAAAAAAAATTATTTAACTAATAAATATATCCACGTATAAGTATAAAATAATTTCTTAATTTATGCAATTCATAATCTTATTATATACATTAATAATCATGATTATAAAAATTGTTGAATCAATTTTAAATAAAATTAATTATTTAATAAAAAGTTGCAACTTTTAATTTTAGATTATAATTATATTAATTTTCATTAAAGACGTAGTTTGGATGAAAAATCATATTTTATGCAATTATTAAAGAGTGTTAAGATATAAATAATACAATATTATAATTATTTAAGATTATGAATTGCATAAATTGAGAAATTATTTTATTCTTATACGAGGATATATTTATTAGTTAAAAAATATTTAAAATACATACTAATATTTAAATTAATTATCTTTTTTAGCTTATTCATATAGCAATGGAAAAAACCAAATAGACTTTTAAAAGTTTATAGACTTTATTAATAAAATCATTACAATAAGAATTTTATTAAAAAAAATTATATTTAATAATTTTCATTACTAATATTAGTTAAATAAATATGAAATTGATTAACTTAGACCTGATCACATTAAGTTAAATAAATTGACTATGAATTTATTTAATATAAAAATAAACATTTAAATTAATAATTATTTTTAAATTATATTGTTATGTAAATTAAATAACATCTATATTATATACTGAACTAATATATTTTATAACTAATATTTTAAATCAAGTTTTTACTAAAATCTTTTATTATAATGTTAAAATATTTAATATTTTTTAGTCTAATTTCTAGTTTTTTATGCGCTGACTGGAGTTACAATGGTAATATCAATATTATAACCAGTATATATATATATATATACAAATCATTTTTTATATATATAAATTATATTGTTTATTTGAACAGATCAAGCAAAATGGCCTAGCCACTTTTCTCAATGTGGAGGCAGAAAACAAACCCCAATAAACATTGCCACCCAATCAACTAAATACAGTCCACTTAATATCGCATTAAACTAAATTGTTGTTTTTATTTAATAATAGCTATTAATTATAGTAAAAGTTATAAAATAGTCAATAGTTTAGTCAAAATTATTATAATTATTATTTTGTTATTTAAAATAAATTATTATTGTTATTTTTATATTCAAAATTTAATGTTAATATTTTTATATATATTAATATAATATTTTTTAAATAAAATTTATAAAACAAAAAATCTTTTACATTTTTTAAAAATAATTATAATTTTTTTTAGTTTTTTATTTGTGTAGTAATAGGGTTCAAAAAAATAATAATTAAAAATTTTATTATCAAAAAAAAACTAAAAGTTATACTTAATATACCAAAGTATACTTATATTCATTTATTTTTATATGTATTCAAAGCATTTTTAAATTAATATTAAATTTTCAATATAGAAAATATCAATTTTTGTACAAATTTATAAATTGTATTTGCGTTACTTCTTTATATATTGTATATTATAAAAATGTTATTAAATTTGTACATAATTTTAATTTTCATTTACTTGTATTCTTAAGGCTCAGAATATTTACTGCACTACACATTATTCATAGACTACCTATAGTTTTGTAATATACGATAAATATAATTATATAATGTATTGATATGTGTTATGTATTAATTTTGTATTAATAATACAATATTTAATGTATAGTATATACACGTATATAATATAAATGTAAAGTTAAATAATAGCTATTAATTATACTAAAAGTTATAAAATAGTTAATAATTTAGTTAAAATTAATATAATTATTATTTTGTTATTAAAAAAATTATTATTGTTATTTTTATATTCAAAATTTAATGTTAATATTTTTTAAATAAAATTTATAAAACAAAAAATCTTTTACATTTTTTAAAAGTATTTTTAATTTTGTTTAGTTTTTTATTTGTGTAGTAATAGGATTCAAAAAAAAATTAAAAATTTTATTATCAAAAAAAAGTTATTATTAATATACCAAAGAATAATATCTATATCTTTAATAAAATGTTTACTAAAACTACTTATTTTTTGAAGATATTTTTTGGTATTTTAATATTTAAACTATATTTTAGATTTGGTCAATATTTAGATAATTTTTTATAATTTTTTTTATTACTAAATTGTATTAAACAAAATATTTTTACTTAAATTAATACATAACAAACCAATAAAACAATTGAATACAATTGAATAGTATAATAGTATTATATTTTAGATGTACTGTATTTTTAAACTAATTACACATTTTTATAGCAGTCTATATAAAACTATATTTTTGTTATATTATCTCTGATATACTGTATATTCCAGGATATTATTATTAAAAAATCCTTTATTTTAAACTGTATAAATAAATATAGAAATTAATTTTAAAATATCTCTAATTTTATAGATATAAAATTTATAACAATTTAGTTAAAAAGTTGATTTAATACTTATCTCTAATTTAATTAATTGCAAAATCATGTAAAATTTGTTAATTCCTAATTCTAAACATATTTTTACATATTTTGATCATTTTGAACACATATTTTGATGTCTCTAATAATAATATACAAAACGTGTGCTTTGATTAAAAAATCATTTTATTAAAGTTATTGAACAATATTTATAGCATATAATACTAATTCTTTATTATTTATCTACAAATTTTTCAATTGACTTATATTACAGATTTTTATATAGCATTACAATTCATATTTTACAGTACTTATAATACATGTTAACTTGTTATATATTGAAAATATTTTTATTGTTTGTATTGCAAATTTTTATTAAATAATTTATTTTATTTAAAATTAAATAAAAAATTTTATATAGTTATGAATATTATAGTCATTAATGTATTAAAAATATATTTTTCAATTAATTTTAAATATTTTATATGTTTCATAATAGTTTTATTGAAAAATTGATTTTAAAATATTATATGTTTTATTGTTCATAAATTATTCTATTAAATTGTTTATATGAAAACTAAAAATTAATCTAAGAAAATTAATTGATGCTTATATTTTTAATCAATCAAATAAATAATTATACTATATATTTAAATTTTTATGAAATTTTAGTACAATAACAATGCAACAAATAATATTTATCTAATAGAAAAATAGTAAATAGAAATATTATACTGTAACTTATTAGCATATTTATAATTTATATTTAGTTGCTTATATTTACATAAATTTACAATATTATAATTATTGTAAAATTAAAATACTTATGTTTTAAGATTAAAATTTAGATTAATAAACAAACTTAATCTCTTATTGTTTGGCTTATAAAAAATATAAAACTATTGATATATGGATAATTATATTTTTATTTATTAAAATATTTATTATTTATAAAATTCTAAATAATTACACTAATTATTAACATAAGTTTTTTATCATAATGTTTAATGATAACTGGGATCAGATGTCTGAACTGTGCGACCATTGATTGGCTGAATATATCGTCTATTGCCAAGCAATGGATGTCCTGGTATACCATTAATAGATTTCTGGCGCAATAACCTAAACTGTTCAAGCTAGTTATTAAAAATAAAAAAAAAGTAATAAATAGTTAATAATTCAGTTTTTTTTGTGTATATTAATAGATTTAATTTTCTATTAAATTTTTTTTCCATAACTACCTGAGCCGTATTTATAGGTATTGGTTTTTCAAATACAAGCCAAGTGACCGACTCATAGCACGGCGGTGTAGTCAATGAACCGAGATATCGGAAAACTGAGCTCCGGTCGTTTGGTAATAAATCGGCCAGGTAGAAATCAGAATGACTGGCTATTGTTGCGGCCGAATTGTATTCGGTAATCAGTTGGACAGCGGCAATCAGCCAATTCAAATTGGGATTAGGTGTACTACTGATGCTCATCAATACTGCTATAACTACCAGTCCATCAGGTTGTGTTAGTGCCTGACTGAAACTACCATATCTTTGATTGTAGTGCGCAAAATGTATCTAGGTAGAGAAATAATATTAAGAAAATTTTTAATTAAAAATATAAACGTTTATAATATAAATTAAAAAAAAGTTTAGATACTATTCAACAACAACAAAACAATTTCAACTTTTCAACTAATAAATCTATATAATAAAGCTAAAATAATAAATAATATTTAATAATACAATAATTACAGATAATAAATATATATTTTTTTAAAACTATGTTAAACTACTGTAGTTATAATATATTTGTATAAATTATTTTAATTTTTTTTTAAAAAATGAACCTCTGCCGCTGCAAATTCATTATCAACGCTATGTTCACTGCCAAACAAATTGCTTTTACCCCAATGTATATGCACATTATCAAGTATGTATCTAGGTGAATTACTATCAAATTGTAAACTGGGTCTAATAATACTGGAATCAGCTATTGTCATGACTACACTGAGACCATTGTTTTGTACGATCATATTAAAGGCTTTATCGTAATTATTCATCAAAAAACTAAACGGTGCAAATCGGACGGTGCGGGTGTCTATATTTATAGGCGATTGATACTGGCCATTACATTGTGGATATGTTCTAGGCCAATTTGATTGATCTAATAAATAAAGAGTTTTTATTAATATATATATACAGATAAATAATTAAATTTTTATTAAAATATTAGTAATATAGTAATAATTTATATATTTAATACCACTATAACTCCATTCAGCACATATAATGTTCGAAGTTAATGTAAATAATATAAAATATTTTAACATTATTTTTATATTTAATAAAATTAATAATAAATTAATTTTTTTTAATTATAAATTTCAAAACTAATATATTTTTGTAAATGTAAAATTATACATCGTTTATATAACTAAATAAAAATATTGCAAATATTTGTTTTATTTTAATTACAATATTTATTATTGCATTTAGAAAACTAAACAATCATGTTTGATAAATAAATTCAAGCAAAAATGTTACATAATTAACTATACTATTTTTATTAAAACTATTTTACTAATTATCATTTAAAATACATACTAATATTTAAATTAATTATCTTTTTTAGCTTATTCATATAGCAATGAAAAAAAATCATATAGACATTTTAAAAGTTTATAGACTTTATTAATAAAATAATTACAATAGGAATTTTATCTAAAAAATTATATTTAATAATTTTCATTACTAATATTAGTTAAATAAATATGAAATTGATTAAATGAGATTGAACTTGATCACACCACATTAAGTTAAATAAATTGACTATGAATTTATTTAATATAAAAATAAACATTTAAATTAATAATTTTATTGTTATTTATAGTAAATAACATCTATATTATATGCTGAACCAATATATTTTATAACTAATATTTTAAATCAACCAAGTACATATAATGCTAGAGACAAAAAAAATATTTTTCTTTGAAAAAATAATAAAAAATTATCTACTAATATTAAATAAACTTAAATTAAAAAAAATTAAATAAAAGTATTTATTACAATATTAAATAAGAAATTTACATTTACATTATATACGTGTATATACTGTACATTAAATAATGTATTATTAATTCAAAATTAATACATAACACATATCAATACATTATATATTTATATTTATAGTATTGATATATTCAATATTACAAAACTATAGGTAGTCTATGAACAATGTGTAGTGCAGTGAATACTCCGAGTACTAAATAATGTAAAGTTTGCCTTCACTTCAGTGAATATTATAGCTATACAGTGGATAACATTTAGACATAATTCACATTATATTATAATTTATAAAAAATTGCAATAATGTTTATACTGTATAACAAAGTTTATAACATTTGAAATCTAATACACGAAAAAAGACAAAATCTGATACTTTTAGAACTATCTATTAATAATACAATTGATGTTTAGTACCCACTAATAAAATTTATAATAATTATAACTGATATTAATATAATAAAAATTATTTTCGACTATTTCTAAAATAAATAAATGTAATATTTTTGTTTTATTATAATTAGGGGTCACATATTACGTTGTTTTTTTAACTGATAGCGCTTGGTTTATAATATTGTTAGTAATTTTAAATATTTATATCAAATCATAATTTAATTAAAAATTATTTGTTTTGTAATCACCGTTATATTAAATAATAATAAAACAAAACAAAAATTAATACTATATATATATATATATATACTGTAATTATTCTACAATAATAATTTTTATATTGTAAAACAAAAAATCAATTTTTATCATAATAAAAACTATTTACAATAAATCATTTAGAAAAACATTATTATAGTTATAATTATTTTTATTTTAATGTTTTTTTATTGATATTTGGGATTAGATGACTGAACAATACGATCATTGTTTGACTGAATAGACCGTCTATTGTCTAGTAATGGATGTCCCGATTCATTATTAGTTGATTTTTCGCGCAGTTGTCTAAACTGATTCAGCTATTAATAACATAACAAAACAAACAATTAAATTAAAATAATTAAAACATTGTTTTATAATTAAATTTAATTAATTTTTTAAACCAATAAAAATAAAACATTATTTACCTGATCTCTACAAATATTGATCGGTGTTTCAAATACAAGCCAAGTGACCGACTCATAACAGGGCGGTGTAGTCAATGAACCCCTATATCTGAACACTGATCTCCGGTCACGTGGCAATAGATTATCCAGGTAGAAATTGGAGTTACTTGATATGTATACTGTTGAATTATATGGATTAATATGTTTGACTGCCCCAATTAGCCAGTCCAAATTGTTGTTCGGGTTATATGTGAGTGCCATCAGCACTGATGCTACTACCAGTCCATCAGATTGTGTGACTGCGTCTTGAAAATTACCATATTTTTGATTGTAGTGTACAAAGTGTAACTGCATTACAGTAATATAATTAATAGATTAAATTTTTAGTTTATAAATATTATTAATAATAATAAGACTTTTTTTTGTAAAACAGTTATACTAAAAATAAACTATTATTTAAATTATAAATTATATAATTAGTTTAATTTAGTTATATAATTATGAATAATATTAAATTTATTATTATTATTAACTTTGTAAAATATACTGTATTAAAATTAGAAACACTATCTTAAATAATTTTTACATTATTACATAAACAAAGAGCATATACTTGTTTCATGTTTTTAATTGTTGTATTATAAAGTTAAAGACTTTTATTATAAGTTCACTAAAAAATACAGTAATTATTATAAAGTATTATATTTTAACTATAATTACTTTAGTATATAATTAACAAATAAGACTAACCTCTGCCGCTGCAAATTGATTGTCAATACTATGTTCGCTTCCCTGTAAATAGCTTTTACCCCAATGTACATGAACATTTTCCAGAATGTATCTAGGTGAATTATATTTATGGTCATCAAATTGTAAACTGGGTCTATTACCACCCGTATTAGCAAACGTCAAAACTGCTGTATCGCCATTGTTTTGTACGCGCAAATTGTAGGTCCTGTCGTAATTGTCAATGAAAAATCCAAACGGTGCGTATCGAACGGTGCGCTTATCTATATTTATAGGCGACTGCAACTGACCACCACATTGCGGAAATGAGCTTGCCCAATTTGCTTTATCTTAATAGATTAAAAAAATTATGTCATATATTGAATTGATAAACTTATGAACAAAAATTTTATTTATAAGTAATTTAATAAATTTTCTAATTAATTAAATTTTCATACCATTATAGGACCATCCTTCGCAATTGATTGTATAGAATAAATAAATAAAAATTATATATAACAACATAATTTTAATGTTTGAAAGTAAATAATCTAGCTCAATAAAAATTTGTTTTTAATTTATTAACTTTTTACTAACTAATTAAACTTTTTTATTATTATTATTTAGCAATTGTTTGTTGTGTATATATATATTTTTTTTGTAAGTCATTAATTTATTTGGAATGATTATTTTTAAGTTTTAAAATTTACTCATATCATTTTTATAATGTATATGTATTGTATTATATGCCTGCTTATATAATAGACTCGAAAAAATAGAGTTATTAATTACCTATGTCAAAATAATAAATATATATTTTTTTAAAAATAATAAATAAATTATATGTATTTCTCAATATTGTTCAATTAAATGTTTATTCGTATTAATATTATTTAGTTACAAATATGTTTTATAAAAAAAGTATTTTATAATTTATTATTATTATTGATTTATTATAATGAAATGGTTTCATAATAAACAAAAGTTCTTATTTTTATTAATTGCTTAAAAATATTTAATCATTATTTTAAGTTTTTTTTAAGTTTTTTAAGTTTATTGATTCTATTTATTATCAGTATTTTATTTTAAAAGTTTTCATATATATATTGTTTTATCAATTTTGATTAAAATAAAAAGAATTTATATTATTTTTATTATGTTTTCTAAAGTTTAATTAATTAAATTTAAATTAATTAGATGTCTGAACAATACACCCATTTGTTGGCTGAATATCTCGTCTACTATAAAGTATGGGTTATCCAGAATTATCTTTTAGAAATCGAAATTGATTGAGCTAGATAATAATAATAATAATAATAATAATAATAATAATAATAATAATAATAATAATAATAATAATAATAATAATAATAATAATAATAATAATAATAATAATAATAATAATAATAATAATAATAATAATAATAATAATAATAATAATAATAATAATAATAATAATAATAATAATAATAATAATAATAATAATAATAATAATAATAATAATAATAATAATAATAATAATAATAATAATAATAATAATAATAATAATAATAATAATAATAATAATAATAATAATAATAATAATAATAATAATAATAATAATAATAATAATAATAATAATAATAATAATAATAATAATAATAATAATAATAATAATAATAATAATAATAATAATAATAATAATAATAATAATAATAATAATAATAATAATAATAATAATAATAATAATAATAATAATAATAATAATAATAATAATAATAATAATAATAATAATAATAATAATAATAATAATAATAATAATAATAATAATAATAATAATAATAATAATAATAATAATAATAATAATAATAATAATAATAATAATAATAATAATAATAATAATAATAATAATAATAATAATAATAATAATAATAATAATAATAATAATAATAATAATAATAATAATAATAATAATAATAATAATAATAATAATAATAATAATAATAATAATAATAATAATAATAATAATAATAATAATAATAATAATAATAATAATAATAATAAAAAGGAGGCACAGTGGTGTAGTGGTTAGTGTGTAGGGCTATGTAGTGTAATGGAGAGTAAGATCTATAGTTCGAGCCCCGATGTGGTAAAGCAATTTTTCTGAGAAAAAAAATTGTTTTAACTGTGCTTCCCGTCCCTGCCCAACCAACGCTGTTTAGGACGGCCAACTTAAGTAGTATGGGGAAAGCGGGGTGCTAAGTGAGGACGAGTTTCTGCCCGACCCCGGGTATCGGTACTTCGGTATCGGTACCCACCTGGGGGTACCCGCAAGGGTGCCCCCACCCGGGGGTGCCTGTAAAAAGGTGCCCCCACCCCGAAGAGACGTCCGCAAGGATGTCTCTTCACCCTTCGAGTAGTTACTCGTCCTCACACGCAATGGCCACTTTTGTTTCAAAAAATAAAAATCCTATTTCAACAAACACATGTTAGTGGTGAGAAATGGGTGGCAATAGACACATGTTAGTGTTGAGCTTATTCTAGGGACTGGGACCCCGTAAAAAGGCCAAAAACAAATATATATATAATTATGATTACACGTAGTCGAAGGAATAACGGGGGTGTTCGGGAGGTACCCTCTCAAATAAATCCCGCGTTCAGCAGGTAGGCATTGACTGCAGTTCGTTAAGTATGCATCATATCCCACGCAGTGATGTGCTATGCGGGCAAAGCTGTGATGTAATGCGACCGCAGACTAGTCAACAAAATCAGACTAACCTCCAAAATGTTTCAGTTCAAGCTGGTTCTCAGCGACAACTGACCAATTTGGTTGAAAAATCGCAAAAGCGCATGAAATGGACACATGAGATGAATACCTTGATAATGCGCGAATACTACAGATCAACTCGACTCGAAACAAATATGACTGATTACAGAAACCAAATTTACTTAGCATTCAAACAGAAATATCCAGAACTAAATGTAACGGAACAAAGGATTGCAGACCAGCGGCGATTCTTAGCAAAGAATAATAAAATATCCCCAATAGAATTACAAGAAATCAAACAGCAAGTGGCACATGAACTATCATTAAATGAAACAACTGAATTAAATACCACAGTAGAAGTAGTGCCAGAAATGGAAGAGACACCTACAACAACAGATAACAGAATCAATACAAATGATGAAATAAATAGAATAACAGCAGAAAATGAACTAAAAACCTCTTTAGAACAATATAAAGACTTTGAAATAGAACTCAGACCTAAGTTACCAAAAATAAAAAGTGGCGTAAAAACAAGATCTACAATAATAACAATTAATGATATACTTAAAGATTACATCGAAGATAACATGTCGTTGAGCACAATTAATACAATAACATACTGTGCAGCAGTAGCAGTATCGAGACTCTTAGGCTACAAAATACAACACATGTCAACTACAAAACCAAATCAAGAAAATATAATACCTAAATGGCAAAAGCGAATAGAGACACGTATAGAAGGGAAAAGACAAGTAATAGGAAGAATAACGCAAGTGTTAAATGGAAACAAATCAAAAAGACTTAACCAATCATTAAAAGATATATACCGATTATTACAGACAAAACCTGGAAAACCTGAATTTGAAGCTATTATCCGGAATTACAACGACACATTAAAACAAACAGTTCAAGCACTATCACAAAGAATCAGAAGATATAAACAACAAAGCGAAAGACGAAAACAAAATACAATGTTCTATAATAACGAAAAAATGTTCTATAGAAATCAAAACAAAATAAATTCAAGCAATATTAACCATACTCCACAAATAGATGAAATAGAAAACTACTGGAAAGAAATCTGGAGTAACCCAAAGGAATATAAAGAATCTAATTGGATAAATGATATTGAAGATGAAAATAAAGAAATACCACATATGACTTCAGTAAATATAATTAAAGATGACTTAACCGAAGCTATCAAGAAATCCCACAATTGGAAAAGCCCAGGACAAGACAAAATACAAAACTTCTGGTACAAACACTTTACAACAGTACATCAACCAATGGCAATAGCAATGGATAAAATAATACAAACAGGACAAACCGATGACTTCCTCACTTCCGGAATAACATATCTACTCCCAAAAACAGAAAATACATCAGATCCCAGCAAATATAGACCCATCACTTGCCTAACAACAATGTATAAAATCCTAACATCCATAATATCAACAAAAATATATAATCATTTAAGTAACAACAACATAATAGCTGAAGAACAAAAAGGCTGTATAAAACACTCAATGGGCTGTAAAGAGCAATTAACAATAGACAATATTATAACAATAAGAGCTCGTCAAAAACATAGAAATCTTGAAATGGCATACATAGACTATAAGAAAGCATTCGATTCAGTCCCACATAAATGGTTATTAAGAGTGTTAAAACTATATAAAATTGACAACACACTGATAAACACATTAGAAAATATGATGAAAAAATGGAAAACTAAATTGTGTGTCAATACAAATAATGGAACAAAAATAAGTACAGAAATCAAAATAAATAGAGGAATATTTCAAGGAGATTCACTCAGTCCTCTGTGGTTCTGCTTAGCCATAAACCCTCTGTCATCACTACTTAAAAAGCTAAAAGGCGTAAATCTAAAATCAAGTGATACAAAATATAATCTAACACATCTACTATATATGGACGACTTAAAACTATACGCCGAAAAAGAATCTGATTTAAATGCAATGCTAAAAACAACAGAAACTTTCTCCAATGATATAAATATGGAATTTGGATTAGATAAATGTGCCATAATGAAACTGAAAAGAGGAGTCTATTCTGAAAGAAATCAATACGAAACTGAAAATGGATATATAAAGGCACTAGAAAATGGAGATATATATAAGTACTTAGGAATTAAGCAAATGCATAAATCTAAAATGACAGAAGTTAAAGAAGAAATAAAGAAAACATTAAACCAAAGAATAATAAAAATACTAAAATCTCAACTAAACTCAAACAACAAATTCAAAGCAATAAACACTTGGGCTATACCTGTACTGACATACTCGTTCGGAATAATAAAATGGAGTAAAACAGAACTTGAGACAATTGAAAGACATATAAGGCGACAACTTACAATGTTTGGACTACACCACCCTAGAAGTTCTGTAGCACGACTATGTGTTAGTAGAAAACATGGGGGTAGAGGGTTACTAAACATTGTAAGCCTTGAAGCCAAACAGCGAGAATTGCTGAGAAAATACCATCAACAAAAATGCAATGTCTCAGAGCTCCACAAAATAACATCAACACTCGATTACAACTACACACCTCTAAATCTCAGCAATAATGAACATCAAATAGAAATACAAAATGAAAAAGAGAGGATTAACACATGGGCCTCAAAAGAACTTCACGGAAGATACCGGGCAGAACTCAACCAAACACACGTAGACGAAGAAATGTCTACAAAATGGTTGAAGTACGCTGGTCTTCATGGAGAGACAGAGGGGTTCATGATGGCAATACAAGATCGAGTGATTCCGACACGAAACCATCAGAAATACATCCAAAAGCTAAATATATCAACAGACAAGTGCAGGATGTGTCATATGGAGTCCGAAACAATAGAACATATACTAAATGGGTGTAAAGTACTCACAAACACCGAGTACCTAAGCCGTCACAACCAAGTAGCCAAAATCATACATCAGGAATTGGCAATAAGATTCGGACTAATTAAAGAACCATTACCATACTATAGATACGAGCCACAAAGTGTAATGGAAAGCAACAGAGCCAAGCTCTACTGGGATAAAGAAATGAGAACAGATAAGACTGTGGCCCACAACCGCCCAGATATAGTACTAGTAGACAAACATCAAGATAAGGCGTACATAATAGACATAGCGGTCCCACTAACACACAAACTACAGGACACGCATAGTGAGAAACGCCGAAAATATACAGACTTGGCCTATGAGATCAATAAGATGTGGCGCATTAAGAAAGTTGAAATCATACCTATAATCCTGTCATCAATGGCCGTAATACCGAAAAATCTGGCCCTAAGTTTGGAATCACTGGAAATCAGAAAAACTAAGATCTATGAAATGCAAAAAGCAGTGATACTTCAGAGTTGTAGAACAGTCAGAAAAGTACTAGACTTGAGTTGAGTCTAACCAGTCGTGTCTCTGCCACCAAAAAGTGGCCGACACAACTGTGATCACACCGGAACAACCGTGATATACAAAGATAATAATAATAATAATAATAATAATAATAATAATAATAATAATAATAATAATAATAATAATAATAATAATAATAATAATAATAATAATAATAATAATAATAATAATAATAATAATAATAATAATAATAATAATAATAATAATAATAATAATAATAATAATAATTAAGAATTATTAGAATATACTTTACTTTATTCATAATATATATATATATTAGTTTTTGCATAGTTATACTATACTATTATGAAGTTATTAGTTATGTGTAAATATTTGCTACCTGAGCTCCCTAAATCGATATAATCTATTAAACACTAGCTAGGTGATTGACTCATAGCACGGTGGCATAGATAATGAACCCTAGTATCTAAACATTGTGCACCGGTTATTGGGTTACCTAGACGAAAAACTGCATGGACAGGTATAGTATATTTTGATTGATATTATCTTGTACTGTATATCTTGGACATCACTAATCAATCAATTCATGAGGTTAAGGCTCAGTTGGGCTAACACAGAGATACCTAACTGTCCATCCGGTTGTGTTTGATATTACCATACGATTCATTATAGTGGGCAAAATAAATCAGTTATATTAATATTAATACTAAAACTATATTATCAATATCTTTAGAATAGTATCTTGATATAATACTTAGTTCTAGTAATAATGGAATTAATTAATTTTTAAATAATAAAAAATCTATTATATTAATAGTAGAATTAATATTAAATATTCCTAACATTGGCCGATATATATTTATATTAAAATTATTTGAACCCCAATGAAAACGTATACTATTCAGCAAATAGTTGCCAACAATGTCATCAAATTGTAAACTGAGTCTAACATCCTGATCATAATCAAACGTATTAGTAGTAGTAGAGAGACCATCATTTTCAACAAATACAGTATATCGTAGTATTATTGATATAATAGTTTGTAAAGTAAATTTAAAAAAAAATCAAATTTAAGTATCTTAGAGTCAATGGTAATAGATACCATTACAGGACGGGTAGTCAGTTGCCCAGTTAGCTTTAGTTTATGTCTAGCTTTACAACAACAAAAATATAAATATTATAGATTTTAAATAAAAACATTACTATAGTTAATAAAAAAAATTTAAAAAACCATCGTATGTCCAATTAAAACATTTTGCTATAACTTAATACAAAATGAACTAATCAATAAAAACTGTAAAAACAGTTTATAAAATATATAAAATAAGTCAAATTTTTACTTTTTTCTATCAATTTTAGGATTAATATATATGTAAAAATAATAAACATTATATAATGTATGTAAAAAGTAGTTTATACCAGTGAAATAATATTCTAAATATGTGCCTGTATCATTTTGTATTTTTTTAATATCAGTATTTTTTCAATTACTTGATTTCCTATTTAATAATCTTATAAAGTATTTTAAAAAGACATTTATTAATATTAGCAATTTTTTAAAATAAATTTTTAAAGTTAATGTTTTTATATACCTATGTAATAAACTTATTAAACTCTAAAAACTTATTATTTAATGTACAAAACTAATATTAATTGCTTCAAACTAATATTGTATTATAGAAATAAATAAGCAGACAAATATCTTTTTATTTATTGGTAAATATGATTGGTTGCAAAATATAAATTATATCACAAGTGTTTGCAATAATAATTATTACAAAATATATAATTTATATGTTTTTTATAATAGCATTGATATTTAAAGCATAAATATATTTTATTTAATAAATTCAAGTTTTAATAGATTGCGTATTATATGCACTTAGTTTCTTAACATTCATACATTAGTTTAAAATAATATATCAAACTTATGATACAATACAATAAAAAATAATTGATATTATTTTAAAATGTCATAGACGACTGAAATAACATTTTTAAAGATCATGCTTAGCAACATATTACCAGTATTTTTTAAATATAAATTAAAATTAAAGCTTATATTACTATAATAATTATATTAAAATAACATTTTTTCTAATAATATTTAAAAACAAATAGAATAATGTTTATATATTAATACATTGAATTTTAATTAAAAATTTTCTTATAGTTTAGTTATAGTAATAATTAAAGATAATTAAACAATTTTTTTCTTGTTTGAGTACTAGGCATCAAAATTATTTGTAATGATAATCAAATTTTAATGTTTTTTCTAAATAATATGTAAATTATTTTAAATATATATAGATATATAAATATTATTATATTATATTACAATATTTTTTTTAAAAAAATATAAGTTAATTCTAATCCGATATTTTATTGCTGATTTTTTTTAATATACCGATAAATAATTAAACAAAATATATGCTAATATTAACAATATTAGTTTTTTATTTAAAGTTATTAGTTATTATAAAAAATTACTATTTATTTTTAAAAAACCCATATATCATTTTTATACTGAAACTAGTAATTAAATGCAAATTGAAAATTTTGCAATTATTATATTATAATATAATTACATAGCAATTCAGTGAAATCATGTAAATTATTTATTTTTAAACTTTTGTTTGTTTTTATTTAAATACTTTAAATTATAAAAAATAATAAGAAAAAACATTTATTGAATATATAGTCAAAATTCTGTATATGATTTAATTCAATATTGCACTAATTAGATACAATTAATTTTTAATTTTATAATATATATTTTATTTTTGTTTTAACGGATGTTATGATATATAAACTATTTTATTATAATTTTAATCAAGTAATACATAATCAATTAAAATCTATTACTTAATTGAATACATTTTAATTATTAAACAATTATGATTATTTGTTTTAACATCAAGGTCAATCACGACACCTATATAATATAACCATTTTTAAGTTATGTTGTTTTTTCTAAAATTATTACTATATTATACAATAATTTTTGATAAGATATACCTTAAACATTGTTTAATGTTTTAAAATATTTATAAATGTATTTCTGTAAATGATTTTATATATTGATTAAAAAGTTCGTAAATATTTACTACTTTTAAAAATTGTTTATCTATTTATATATAATTTCAATAATAATAATATCAAGCAAATTATGAAATCATTGGTAAATTATTCATTATTTATTAAAAAATATTATAATTATTGTTATTATTATCATAAATTTGCAAATTTTTTAATAAACTACTATTCAATATAATTATATAGTTGTATAATAATAAATTATAATAATAATAATAATAATAATAATAATAATAATAATAATAATAATAATAATAATAAGTAGTAGTAGTTATTTTAAATTATAGTTGAAATCTTCCAAAATATTTATAAGAATAAAATTTTATCTAAAAAACTCAAAATTATTGTAATTAATTTAAATATTTAATATATTAATATATTTTTTTCAGTGTATTTTAACAATAGTAGTATGCATTACACTGGGTTGTCCTCAATCATACCGGCGCTCGAGATTTTACGATAATAGCCGATACAACTCTTATGATGACGACTACGACAGCAAGGATTGGGAGTATACCAGTGAACAGCTTAATAGACAATACCATAGAAGACTCAATAATGTGTACGGAAGGGCTTTCAGAAATAAAGGTCTCTATATAAATGCTAACTGTGCTTATATTATAGATATTTTTTTAAATAAATAGTAATTACTATCATTTTTTTTGGTAGGACCTATCATAGGATTTGGACCGTTCAAAGTCCAGGGACACAAACTCGAGGACAATAGCTATGACTTGGGCTACGATTTGGGACAAGGATATGGACGCAAATTGGGAACCGGTATTAGGACTGGAATTGACGATACAATAACCAAAAGTATCAAAAAAGTTAAATTCAATTTTGGAAATAATAGTAAAGATAAAGATAGCGAGTCTGATGACAAAAATGATGAAAAAGATAAGAAAAATGATGATAAAAATAGTGATAAAAATAGTGATGAAAAAGATAAGGATGGAAAGGGTGATAAAAAGTCGACAACCCGTGACCAAAAAGATGACGATCCGTAGCTTACTTTAAATATATATATATTTTTATATATGTTTTTCTTATAATATAAAAATTTACATATTATAAACATTGAAAGAATATTTTAATTTTAAAAAAATTATTGTGAAACTATTTGTTTGAAAGCTGTAAATATTAATTGAGATTTTTTTTTAAAATTTTCCAAACTATAATTTTAAATATGTTATTATATACTATATAATTGCTTAATTGTTTATATGTAAATTTATTATTTTATGTATAATATTGATAAAATAGACATGTTTTTTCAGTACATATAACCAAGGTTACCTATTTTGAAAAAATATATATATAAATTAAAATAAAATAATTTTGTTTGTTTTCAAATGTTAATAAAAATTTTAAATGTTAAGATAGAAATGTGTATCTATTTTGTAAACGACAATCAAATGTAATTATAAAAATAATATATATTTTGAAAAATATATAAAATAATTATTTATATTTTAAATATTATTTTTGACCAGATGATTTTTTATTTTGTATTAACTATGACAATAATCAACATGGTTAAAAGTCAATGGGAACCGGGTAACTATGTTGAGTCCAGGAGTATTGTCAAAGATAAAAATAGTTACATAAATATTAATTATGCATTATTATTTTTAAAAATTATATTTTAAATTAAAATATAAAATTAATTATGTTATTTTAACTTTATATAGTTCCAGTAATAAGACATGGTCCATTTGAAAGGGACCGGGGCATTATTAGCGACCGGAGCTACGATATTGGCTTTGTTTTGGGCTATGAATACGGTGGACGACTCGGCAATGGTATCAAAACTGGTATAAAAGACTCGGTTGGCGGCAGCGGTGGCGGCGGTCGTGAGGGCAACAAAAAAGGCAAAAAATCCAAAAAGGATACAAAAACATCTACAGAGGTTACTGAGGTCACTAAGGTTACCGAAGATGAGTAGATTAAGATTATATTATTTATAATCTAATAACTCATAATAAAAATGTTTTTTTTCTGTTTTAATCTTAAATAAAATATTTTATATTATTATTCAAAATATTTGTAAGTAATAGTATAGAATTTACAATATTATTATTATTATTATTATTATTATTATTATACCTATATTTTAACTTGTTTTCCATTATATGGTTAGCATTGAAAATGAATTTTTTGTAATAAATAAAAAAAATATTTTCAATTACTGTATATAATTATATGCTATTTAAATGATTAATTGTAATAAGTTTATAGTTTTTTTTCTTCTTATTTTTTGTGTCTCATTTTTCCAACAAAATAATTAATTTTTTCAAACAAAATTCAATTCAATATATTTAGCAACAGATAATCATGAGATGTTTGTATTAAGTCATGATTTTTCACTTTAATAACTTAATTATTGAAAATTGTTTGTTTGTATTTTTGTATGTATGTGTGTGTAGTGATTAACAAATAAAATAATTATTATTTTTTGATTAATTATATTGTATAATAGGTGTTGTTTGTTGTATAGTAGACTATTTTTAGACATGATTATCTTTATAAAAAAATTAATAAAGTTATTAGAAATTTTATATTATTAATATCAATATTAATCAAATATTAATAATTTTCTAAAATTATTTACAAAATTTAAATAAACTGTTTTGACGTGTTGTTAAATATTGTTTAAAATTTTATAAAAATTATTAATTAATATTTTAATATAGTATTAATAAAATTTTAATTTTAAAATGAATTTAAAATTATCGGTAAGTTATAAATTTTAACAATTTTAACTTAATTTAATTAATTTCTAATGAATTTTACTTTCAGTTATTATTATTATTAATGGTATGTATAGCACTGGCCGTCGGAAGACCGGCCAAAAAGAGTGCCCGAAATAAAAGTAAGTCAAACAGTGGTAGTGATGATAATGACGATGAAAACGATGGCAAACAAAATAGTGGTGACACTAATGACGACAACAAAGAAGATGATGATGAAGACGAAGGAAACGGTAGAAGTGATAGCAGCGGTGATAGTGACGGAAACGATCAAAAATCTGGAAAAAACAATAAAAATAAGGGAAATGGATCTAAAAAATCTAAAAAAGGCAGTAATCGTGATGAAGATGAAGACGAAGATGAGGAGGAAGGCAATGAAGATGATAGAAATGGTGACAAATCAAGACGTAATAATAATAATAATAAGAGAAACCAAAAAAACAATGATAACGATGACGATTATGATACAAATGATGGTCAGGGAGAAGGAGATGATCGTAGAGGAGGTCGACGCCAACCAAATCGCAATCATAATAATAGACGCAATCGGAATAGGGATCAAAATGACGACCAAAGCGGAGACAGTGGTGATCAAGATTACGATAACGGAAGCAGTAGGAGAGGTGGACGCAATAGGGGGCGTGATAGTGGTCGTAGAGGTTCACCAAATAATCGTAATAATAATAATAATAGAAATCAACCGAATGGACATCCAGACAACGAGTTTGGTGATGGTATGGGAGGAATGGGTGATCCCAATGCAAGAGGTGATCCAACTGGAGGTAGTCTATCTCCAGGCGGAGGTGTTGGTGATGGTAGCGGTGGTAACGGAGCCTCTGATTACGATCGTTATGGGTATTATGATATTGATTATATAATTGAGTCAGACTATATTGATAATAAAAATGACATTGATCAATTTGAACAACTCATGTCTGACAATAGTTACCAGATTGGATTTGGCGCCGGTTTTGGAGTCGGCAAAGATATTGGAAAATTTTTACGTAAGTTTACCACAAAAAAAATCTATTTTTGAATTATTATAACTTTTTTTCTAAGTAAAAAGTAAACTAGATAATATAGTAGTTGATTATTAAAAAAAATATTTCTATAGTAATTTTAAAAATTAATAATCAATCAAAAAAATATCAATAAGTTAATTGGTTGTATTTTATATTAATCTATCTAAATAAAATTTATTATACTAGGTAATCAAAAAATTATCTATAAACTGTCTAGGTAATAATATTATATATTATATAATTATATTGTAGGTGGATTCAAAGATGGCGCCAAACGCAATATAGCCAATCGTAACAATAAAAAGCCCAAAAAACAGGACAAACCTAAGCCAAGGGATGACGACAAGGATGAAAAGGACAGGGAGGACGACGAGGACGATGACGGAGATAAGTTTGTACGCAGCGATGGCAGTGTTGGTCGAGATAATAGTAGACGCGGTAATAAAAATGGATCTGATAAGGGAAAAGGTAGAAATAGTAGGGATGGTAGGGATGGTAGGGATGATAACAATGAGAATCAACGCAAAAATAAGGGAAATAAAGGAGAAGATGATGAAGAAGATGGAGATGAAGAGTCGGATGACAGAGAAAAAGGAAATAAAAAACATAAGAATAGAGACAATAATGAGGATGAAGACGACGAAGAAGACAATAGTGACGATAAAAATAATAGTAAAGACAGTAAAGGAAAGGGAAATAATGACAACAAAGATAGCAAAGGAAATGGAGATAAAGAAAGTAATAAAAAGAAAGGAAAAGGAGATGACAGTAATGATGAAGATAATGGGGGTAAAGAAAAGGGGGATAAAGGAGATGAGGATTATGATAGTGAAGGAAAGGATGGTAATGAAGATGATGAGGATAATAGTGAAGGAAAGGGAGGTAAAGGGGGTAAAGGAAAAGGTGATGACGATAATGATGATAGTGAAGGAAATGGAGGTAAAGGGGGTAAAGGAAAAGGTGATGACGATGATGATGATAGTGAAGGAAAGGGAGGTAAAGGGGGTAAAGGGGGTAAAGGAAAAGGTGATGACGATGATGATGATAGTGAAGGAAAGGGAGGTAAAGGGGGTAAAGGGGGTAAAGGAAAAGGTGATGACGATGATGATGATAGTGAAGGAAAGGGAGGTAAAGGGGGTAAAGGGGGTAAAGGGGGTAAAGGAAAAGGTGATGACGATGATGATGATAGTGAAGGAAAGGGAGGTAAAGGGGGTAAAGGAAAGGGTGATGACGATGATGATGATAGTAAAGGAAAGGGAGGTAAAGGGGGTAAAGGAAAGGGTGATGACGATGATGATGATAGTGAAGGAAAGAGGGGTAAAGGGGGTAAAGGAAAGGGTGAGGACGATAATGATGATAGTCAGGGACAGGGAGGTAAAGACAGCAAAGGAAAGGATGATGATAATGATGATAGTGAGGGGGAGGGAAAAGGAAAGGATGGTAATGGAGATGATGATAGAGAGGGACAGGGAAGTAAAGGGGGTAAAAGTAAAGGTGAGGATAAGGATGAGGATGATAGTGAAAGGAAGAAAGGAAAGGGTAGTAAAAAAGATAGGGATGAGGAGGAAGGGGATGAAGAAGACAGTAAAGGAAAAGGAGATAAAGGAGACGATGACGGAGATAGTGAAGGGAAGGAAGGGAATGGGAGTAAAGGAAAAGGAAATAAAGATAATAATGAAGATAACGAGGAAAGGGATAGTGATAATGGAAAGAGAGATAAAGATAAACAAAAAGAAAATAAAGATAAAAAAGATGAAGAAGAGGATGAAGATAATGACAGACAAACAGATAATGGAAACAAAGGAAAGGGAAATAACAAAAATAATGGAGAAGAAGATGACGAAGAAGGGAATGATGGGAATAGTAAAGGAAAAGGAGATAAAAATAAAAGCAAAGGAAAGGGAGATAAAGGAGACGACGATGAAGAAGATGATGATAAAGGAAAAGGAGGTAAAAGTAAACAAAATGGGAATAAAGACAATGATAGTGATGAAGACGGGGAGGACAGACAGTCAAAGAAAAATAAACAAAAAAAGAGAAAACAAAATGACGAAGAAGAAGATGAGGAGGAAGAGGGAGAGGGAGAGAGGGGAGGGAAGAGTAAGAGTAAGGGAAAGTCAGACAAACAAAGTGATGATCAGAAAGAAGAGGACGATGATGAGGACAAACAAAGTGATAAAAAGAATGGAAATAAGAAAAAAGGCTCAAAAAGTGGGAACAGTGAGGATGGAGAAGAAGATGGAGAAGGAGAGGATAATAACGGAAATGATAGTAAAAGTGACAGTAAATCCAAGGGAACTAATAGGAAAACATTAAAGGGTAGAAACAGAGGTATCGGTACGGGTGGCGGTTCGGGTAGACGGTCTGATTGAGTGATTTTATTTATAATAAATCAATCAAAATGTACATGGTAACTATTTAAATTAAATATATAATTTTTATTTAAATGAGCCATCTTTTTAATATTTTTATTTAAGTTAATATTTGTTTTATAATAAAAACTTATACTCTATTTATATACAGTAAATGTGCAAATCTATAATAATAATAATTATTTATTTATTATTATTATTATTTCATATATATATTTTTATTTACTACTAAATAATTTTAAGATAATTGTACTTGATGATATAGATAATTATCTAATACACATTGCGTAATTTTTGTTTTGTAAAATATTTTATTGTATTTTATTATTATTAATATATCACAAAATTGTTATTTTTATAAAATAATAAAATTGTAAAATATTAGGCAATGTATATGTGTTTAGCAATACAGTGATGTCACTGAAACATTGAATCTGTAATTTAAAATAAAAACTAATGTATTAGACAGTCAACGTTTTGGTACTATTTATGACTATGATTATTATATTATATTTTCATGTCTATTATTTAGTATAAAATAAATACAAATCTAATTCAATAGCTTATATAGAGTGTAAAAATCGTGATCTCTCTCTCTTTCTCTTTCTCTCTCTCTTTCTCTCTCTCTTTCTCTCTCTCTCTCTCTCTCTCTCTCTCAATATGTTTAGTGTATGTATTGAAGAGAGTTGTAGTCAATTGGATGTTTTGAATGAATGAATTGAATGTTAGAAGTATTGTAATATAAAAATAATAATAATAATAATAACTACGAAATATAAAGTGAAACACACAGTGTATTTAAAATCAAGTTTTTTTTCTCCCATAAGATAATAATTATATCTCACACTTGCAATATAAAAATAAATAATAATAAATACTACACTATCTGTATATTACTGTGTGTTAAGTGTGTATTACTATTAGTGTGTTTGAAATAATTTGTTTAAAATTATTATACAGTAATATCACATATTGTGTATTATATACCGTATCCATCAATAATATTCTGGTTATCGGTTATATAAAGTATATATATATATAATTGATTAAATAAAATGATGCGTTTATAAATTAATAAAATTAAATAATTATATATTATAATATTATTGTTGTTGTTGTTGAAGAAAAATATCTAGTTTATCTAAAATATTCTGGTCTAAAAATTTTTATATTCAAATATTTATAGTGTTTATTGGTATTGGTTTATTAAAATTATTTGTGACCTATTTTTAATAATAATTAATAATATAAATCATATTTCAGCTTGTTAAGAAATTATATAATATTCTCTATATATTTATATATATTTGCTATTAATTTATCATTGTCCTAAATAATTATTACCAATCAACATCCTTATTATTGCAATTATTAATCTACTATTATGTGTGTGATTTAAATAAATAAATAAGCTAGATAATATTTTGTTTATCAATATTATTTCTACAATTCAACAAAATAAAAAAACATAAATTATTGTGTTTCTAAAAAAAATTATTAATAAAAATTTTAAATATATACAAATATATTAATATATATGAAAAATATGGGCAAAGATTACTATCAGATTCTCGGCATTTCCCGTACGGCCACTACCGATGACATTAAGAAGGCGTACCGCAAACTGGCCCTACGCTACCATCCGGACAAAAACAAAGCGCCCGAAGCCGAGGAAAAATTCAAACTGATTGCCGAAGCCTATGAAGTATTGTCCGACAAAAAGAAACGCGATATCTATGACCAGTTCGGTGAAGAAGGTCTACAAAATGGCAGCAGTGGTGGCGGTGGCGGAGGTTCGGGTAGTTATTCCAATGGCGGCGGCGGTGGCGGTATTCCTCACTTTACATATACATTTCATGGCGACCCTCGGGCAACGTTTGCTCAGTTTTTCGGAACCGACAATCCGTTTGAGATGTTCTTCAATATGGGCGGACTCGGCCCACACGGCACGGGCGGTCATCACGGGTCGGGTATGTTTGCATTCGGTAATATTATTTTTTTGTGTGTTTGTTGATTATGGTTTTGACGGTTTTTGGGGACATACCTAACCAATGATTTTTGTGGTGGTGGTTGTGGTGTCGACTAATTTTGGTGATTGGGTAGTAATGTAAAAGTTTTATTATTTAGTATTTATTTCTTTATTACATACAATATCCGATATCTATCAGATTTTAATAATCATTAGCATTATTATAATATTATTAATAGATATGTATCTAAAAAATTAAAACAAAATTTAGAAAGTAAAATTATTTATTTATTTTAATTGCTTATTTGAAACTGTGTGTGTGTGTGTAGTATTTTTAAAAATTGTTTACTCAAATTTTTTATTTTTATTTAGTAGTACACAGTATATGCAAAAATTTACGCAAATATGTTTTTCTTGCTAATGTTGACTATTTTTTTTAATTTTTATTTTTAGTTTAAAAAAATAAATACATTTTTATGTTATAGTTTTCTATTTAAATAAGTCAAGTGTAGGTAAAAATCTTGATGACTGCTACAAATATATATATTTAGTTTTTTATCTTTTATATGTATATATAGTTTTTTTAGTGTATTAGTTAGGAAAATTTGTAATTTAATACTATTATACATATAAATTATTATTTAATTGACTTTAAAATATTTCTATTTTATTTTAAACTAGTTTTTTTTTAATTAACATTTTTGTTTGTTGGCAAACATTATATTGTTCATTAAACACAATAAAATATCAATATCCATATCATTAGCTTTTTATATAATATTGTAGATAAAAATATTTAATTAGGATCTAATTTATTTAAATTAAATTTATGAATATATTTTGCTTTGTTTATTATTATTATTTTAATTATGTACTTTATTATAGATTTAGTATTGTAAAGAAATACCATATACTGTAATATATAATATGAATTACATTAATTACAAATAGTTAATTAAAAATATAATTTATACTAATGTATATATTAAGTATACAGTATGATTCATATACGACAAAATATTGTAATTTATATACATATATGATATAAAATCAAAATTATTTATGACTATAGCATAATATAGATACATATATTTATATTATTATCAACTATACAAATATCTTTAACTTATTAGGTTATATAAAATTTTCAAACATTTTATACATATTTATTTTAATTAGATTTTCAATTTAGATGATGATTTATGTGGCAATAATTTCATATTTTGTATATATTAGACAAATAACCGATTATTATTAATTTAATACAAAAAAATAGTTTTAAGTAATTTTTGACTAAAAATAAACTAATAAATAATTTTTTGTTTATTTTTATGTAAAATTCCTATTGAGTTAGCATTTCTGATATTATTGCAAGAATATTCTGCAATATTTATATATAAATACGATTAGTTTAAATTTAATTATTAATTATTATTATTACTTAATATAATTATATACATATTTATTTTTATTACAAACAAAATAAAATTAGAACAATTGAAATATTTAGTGTTATTGTTATTATTAATAGTAATATAATCTAATTATATATCTATTTTAAGAATCCTATTATTGACATTATTATTGACATTACGATATGATATAAATTATAATTTCTTTAGTCATATAAAATATATACAATATATATATTGTTCATTGATATACATTGTGAATGACATAATGACGTTGTCATTGATATTGTGCTATTTGTTTGTCAATTTTATGACAATTTCTAACCCAAAATTGTCGCAATGGATCCTTAATTATAGTCAATGACTCTCAATGCAATGTCAGCAGTAAATGTATCTATTAGTATACATAAACTGTATATACTGTACAATGTATTGAGAAAACATTTATTTTTGGTGAAAATATTTTGTTATTTTTATCAATTTTCAAACATATAATATACTGTATGAAACTGTACTGGTATTTGATTAGCGCAACGCTTATGCATAATAAGCACTAACTCTATGGATTGATAAAAATAAAAGTGATTTTTAAGATCCAAATAGTTTTAATGTTAAAAAACTGAGTTATTTATATACAGTATATACACTGTGTATTTATTTTTCAATTATAACTTTTGAAATGAGTGATGTGTGTGTGTATTGTATATACAGCATATATATATGTGTGCACATTATGTATTTAATGTGAGTGGGCTATAGTATAGTGAGATCACAAAGAAACACTTAATTTTTAGTTAAATTTTTAAAGTTTTTTTTCAATATTATAAACAATATAACATACTGTCTATTGTTAGCTAAACGCACTATAATTTTATATGAAATAATTATTATCATAAAATATTAATCTAATATAGCGATATACTATAACAATAAAACTTTAGTTATTAATGTACAAAATGAAATGATTTAATAATATTAATAAATTTATCTACATTATATAATTTAGGTTAAATTTATCAATTTCATTATTTATTATTACATTTAGAATTATAACATTAATTATATCAATAATATTATTTAAATAGATTTTGTTTGTTGTTTTCATATAATACTTAAAATAATTAGTTGTATTTTGTAAATATTTAAATTGCAAACAATTGAGAATTCAATATTTATTTTTAAATATAATGTAAAATATTTTCACTAATTATTTGTATAAAATATAAAGTATAAAGTATATATATACAGTATATACGTATGTATATACAGTATAATTAGATTATATTAGTTTATTGTATGCTTTTGTGATTAAGACTTTCAATGATAACTAGTTTTTATTATTATTATTATTGAAATTTTGTTTTATTGTTTGGTCTATATATGGAAAATAATTAATTGACTGCAAACAATTTTAAACTATAGTAATATTTTATAAATTATATATTAGCGTTTTTTTCATTTTGTTTTGATTGTTTAAAATAAAATAAATTTTCAATTGATGAGTGTTAACATTGAAATAATAAAAAAGCATTTAATTATACTGTCTATCATGTACTGTAATAACAATAATAATATAAATAATAAAAACAAAATATTAAATTTTTTTTATTTATATATGATTATTATTATTTTGATTATAATAAAATATGCTATATGGGTTTCAAATTTTTATTAATGAAATAATTTACAAAATATAATAAAATATTATATTTTGTACAAAATATTTTAACTCTTTATCTACAAAATTATGTCATGAAATAACTAAATAAAACATTTAAGGAAATTAAAATTTGAATTATATTAATTAATGTTACACGGGTATTAACATTATAATTTATATAATGCACAAATAATTTTTTATAAATATTTTTATATAAAAAATAAGTTTACAAAATAATATTTAAGGTTAGTTTTTGTTAAATAAATAAATTTTAAATTAAATGCTAAATTATATATATAAATGCAGGACATTAGTTTTTAGCATTTTTAATAAGTTTAACAACTGTTTATATATATATATATATATTGAACACACTAATAATAAATTATGTGCCATATATATCAATTTATTTAAAATATTTTAAAACAGGTGAGCAAAATAAATAAAAAAATAATAATAACTAACAATAATAATAATAATATGAGATAAGTTCAAAAAAATCACGGAAATCGTGATTTCAAATGTTAACTATTGTTATAAAACTTTAAAACAAAATGTTGTACTAATGAGACTTGTATTTGATATGTTATTATTGCTGTTATTATTGTCAATAACACATTTACAATATTTTCAACTGTTTTAGGCATAACTGTAAGCAATTTATTGACTTTATTATTATTAGTACTTTTTATCATTAATTAAAAAAAAGTTTTCACTAAAAGTATTGCTCGAAAAATATGTATTGAATTTCAACTAAACAATAATCAAATGATATCGTGACTAATAAACATCATGAATGTAATCGTATGTGTGTGTGTGTGTGTGTGTGTGTGTGTGTGTGTGTGTGTGTGTGTGTGTGTGTGTGTGTGTGTGTGTGTGTGTGTGTGTGTGTGTGTGTGTGTGTGTGTGTGTGTGTGTGTGTGTGTGTGTGTGTGTGTGTGTGTGTGTGTGTGTGTGTGTGTGTGTGTGTGTGTGTGAATATGTGTTAGTAATTATAAAATTTTAAAAATATAGAAAATATTAAAAAATAATAATTAAATTTAAAACATATTATACACTAGTGTACACTGTATTTGACAATTGATATTATAAATAGTATATACGAAACGATTATGTTTATTATTCATAAATGTTTTTAAATATTTACAATTAAAATATTGATGATTAAAACTTGTTTTATTTTTAGTAATGATATATTTTTAAAAATGTCAATGTTTGCTAAAATTTATTGCACTGCAAATAATAAAATTTTATTATAAAGTGAGTAAAGGAGAGAGAGAGAAAGAGAGAGAGAGAGAGAGAGAGAGAGAGAGAGAGAGAGAGAGAGAGAGAGAGAGAGAGAGAGAGAGAGAGAGAGAGAGAGAGAGAGAGAGAGACTTTATAAAATATTAAAACTACATGACCTCTCATCCCCCATAATGTCCTCTAAAAATGTAAAACAACATAAATAAACTATAATTTTAATTAAAAAATACAGTTTTTAAACTTTAACCTTAGTTTATTATACTGTATTTAAATAGTTTTTTAGTTAAACAGTAATTTGTTATGTTGTCAAATAATATAGTAAAATTTTTATTAAAATTTTCAATAACAAAAAATTGATTGAACTAGTACAATAATATGTAGGTGGGTTTTCAGTGTTATTAGCTTATTATATGTGTAGGTTTATTCCCAGGGAATAACTAGCAAATTAAGTATTAATAAAACTTTGATGATTTATTTACAAGTATTTATTTGATGAATAAAATTTAGTTGTCTAGTATCAATAGTTGATCAAGGTTACTTTGTATATAAACACCTACATATAAAATATATATTATTTGTATCATAAATAGATTGAACGATTAATATATTTTTAGTATATATTATAAATTTGTATTAATAATTTAATAATGTATATATGATTCATACACAATTTTAATTTATTATTAATATATTGAAATAAATTTATCAAATATTTCAAATATCATTTATGATAAATTGGTTATAATATTAATGGTGTTATTAACTTTTAGTTGAATATGTCAAATGTTAAAATTTTTATCAAAATACAGAAAATATATTATAATGTTTTAATTATAATCAAGTATTATGAACACTAAATTACAATATATGACAAAATTATCATGCACAATCATAGGACAATTTATAAAATTATTATAGAATTTATTTTTATATATAATTTAAACTTTTAATTAACTTAATAAACTTATAATTTACTATTGCATGTTTCAAAACTACAGCCTTATTAATAATGATAATTAATATAACTTATTATAATCGCACCGTTAGGTCCCGGTTTCGGTTTGTTTCACGACTTCGATGACATGGATTTGGACGACTTGTTCGGATTAGGCGGACCGTCGGGTCGCGGAGGTAACGCATTCCGGTCGCAATCGTTTCACGGCAGCAGTCCATCGCATGGGTTAGGATTGGGCGGTATCGGCAGTCATAGAAAAATGGGCGGTTCCACAGCCGGCACTCGTCAGGATCCAGCCATAGAGCACGAACTGTTCCTCACACTCGAAGAGGTGCTCAAAGGTTGCGTCAAACGCATGAAAATTACACGTAGAATACCGGCAGCCGACGGCCGGACTGCCAAAAAAGAGGACAAAGTACTTACCATTAATGTGAGGCCCGGCTGGAAGGCCGGCACAAAAGTGACGTTCCAACGGGAGGGCGACCAAAGCGGTACGGCTATACCGGCAGATATTGTGTTCATTATTAAGGATAAGCCGCATCCGGTGTACAAAAGGGATGGCATTGATCTAAAATATACGGCAAAAATTACATTAAGAGAGGTTAGATCATAATGTTATGGTTTAATGCAATTGACTAACATTAGCATTAGATTTAATTATATATATATATATATATATTGTTGTTTTTTATTGATTTAGGCCCTAACCGGTTGCAAAGTGAATGTGCCGACTCTTACCGGTGATATTGTTCCCCTGCGGATCAACGATATTGTAAAGCCGACTACTGCCCGCCGGATACCTGGCCACGGTTTGCCGCACGCCAAAGATACTGAAAAACGTGGCGATCTTGTCGTCACATTTGACATCAAATTTCCCGATTACTTGACGGAACCTACGAAACAAATACTAACCGATTGTTTGCCATAAAACTGGGGCCCAAAATATATACAAACAAACACATAGAGAGCACAATCCTAAAACAGAGACAATGTTGTTAATAAAAAAAAACACTTTACTTTAAATTAAATATTTATATTTTAATTAACATTATTAATATTATTGTTTAAAAGCTTTAAAAAATACATCTAATTTTTATGCAAACAAACAATAATATTAATAATTATTACTCAATTTTCATAATTATTAAATTAATTATTTTTTTGACAATAATTGTTATTTTTCATAAAATATTAAATACAGTATAATATAATATAATAAGAAATCAGATATAAATTATATATTTTTAAAAATCATCAATTATTTATATTTACAGTATATTATATTTATAATTTTATGCAAACATGTTATACTGCATTTTAACAACATTTTAAATAACTAAATAAATTAATTAATAGCATTTTATAGTTATTAAACAACAACAACAAAAATTATAATAATTTTTTTCGTTTATTTCAATTTAATTTTATTATTATATTTATTTTTTTGCATTATTTTTTTGTTATTTTATTGCATTTTGTTTTTATTTTGCGTGCAATTATTTTATTTTGTTATTTTTTGTGAAAATAAGTTATATTAATTTATTATTTAAGACTATATGTTAGTTAAATATACATTTTTCTATGTTATACTTTACAATTTACTATTTAAATACAAGTTATCTAAATTTATTAAAATATTATTACAAATATACAGTATATTTTGTATTATACAGTATGTTTTAGAAATAAAATTTGCTTATAATTGTTATTATTAAATAAATATAGTAATTATTTTTAAAAAAAAACAAAATCATAATATTATTTAGTTGTTTTATAATCTATAAACTAAAAAATTATTTATAATTTTACAAACAAATATGAAATACTAAATATGGGAAATTACTAAATAAATATTAATAGTATTTACCAATTATTGACCAGTTTTCCCAACACTTAAATGTTTACTTTTGTATGAACTTTAAACACTGTTTATACTGTATATAAAACTATACGTTAATCTTAAAATTAATTTCTAATGATTTCATAGATTAAATTGGAAATTTACTGATTATTACTGTACATAATAATAGCCACTTATGGTCTATAATTAGTTATGGCTAGAAAAGTATAAATATAGTTATATCAATTTATATGCTTACAAACATACATATGCTATCATTTTCAAATATATTTATCAAATATGATAACAATCGCCAGTTAATTATTTTAAGGGTATATATATATATAAGTGCTGTATTTTTGTTAATATGCCATACAATTAGTTTAGTGCCATTTCATTGTTAATAGTATTGATATCGTAATTTAATTTAACCCCATTTAATAATGAAAGTCTACTTTGCAATTGCTTTGATATTGTCAATGATTGCATCACTGATATATTGTGCTCCAAGCCCTCAAAGACATCGCCACGGCGGACATCATTTTGGTGGTCATGGAGGTGGTCATCATTTTGGCGGCCATGGAGGTGGTCATCATTTTGGAGGCCATCACGGTAATAGTTTTTATGATTATAATAATAATGTTGCTAATTTATTAAAAATTTGTAATAGGGCATGGTGGTCATTATGGAGGCCATGGATTTGGCGGCTATGGCGGCGGATTCAGACCAGGTTTCGGTGGTTTCAGACCAGGTTTCGGTGGTTTCTTTTAATCGACTGGTTTTTATGTGTGATCGTCATAATTAGTAATAAAAACTTAACGCAATTTTTTTAAATAAATTTTCCGCTGTTTGTATGTTTGTGTTTTATACGACAATATTTATATTTATTTTTTATCAATTTTTTTATATAATAAAAAAAGTTTAATGAAATAAATTAATTTTAATAAAACAAGTTAATTTATGCAAATTATTTTCTTAATAACGTAAATAATTTTTATTAAATATTAAAATAATTTTTAATTATTATAAAATAATTTACATATATTCAAAATGATTTGACCCAATATACTCTAATAATATAATAGAAATAAATTATATATTTAAAAATGACTTAATAATGTTAATTGTTATTATTTACTTATGGTTCATAAGATTTTATTTATCAATTTAATTAATAATTAATAAATTTTAATACAATTGTTTGTTTAATAGTTTACTTAACCAAGTCGTGAGACACAGGCATGAAATGTAAAGTCAATGAAAATCATTTATATTAGAAATTAAAAGTCAAAATGTTTGACCCATAAAGAGGTCGGCAGTTAATTGATGGGTAATAAATGTAGTGAAAGTGTAATATATGCTAAATATAGCAAAAGTAAAATTTATCGTTTATTTAATGTAAAATATTTCTAAATTTAAAAATATTGAACTTTATAAATAGATAAAATTGCAATATAATTATTTAGATTAATAACACAAAATTAAAGTTACATTTAGATATTTTTTTTAATTATATTTAATAGTTTGAATATTTAGTTATTATAATACTAATGATATTATAATTTAATTATGTTTGAATTTATATTTATAAAAAAAATTAATTAATAAAATCTACTGATTAACATTGACATCTATAAAATTGTATAATTTTAGTCCATTTTTAATTATTTAAATAACCTAAATTTCTAAATAAAATAGAAATGTTTTTAATAATATTTATATATATATATTTGTACTGTATTTGTAAATTAAGAATATTTTATTTCAATAAATAAATTATTTTTTAAAAATAATGTATAAGCAATTTTATTTAAGTAATTTTATAATTGTCATAATTTTGTTAACATTGCGTCAATTGAACAATAATGTAATTTGCAATATTACAGATAATTTATCAGGTAAATTTTGTTTAATTAAAACTTTTTAAAAATTAATACTAATAATTCAAATGGTGTAACAAACGAGTAGATGAAACATTAGATGTCAACAACAATACAAACTACATGAGTATCAGTAAAGACATAATATTGCCGATTAGTGAGGCAACTGAACTAAGTGTATGTCGATTGTGTTTGGGTCGCAAAATGGCTTCATGTCCTATGTGTGCAAAAATCATACAGGAAAAGGAGCTCCAGTGTCCACCGGCCATACAATGTCCACACTGTCCAGTGTGTCACCAGTGCGAGGAGTGCCCTAAATGTGCTAAATGTGTTACCTTAGTTAGATGCGATCCGACAACACCTAAACCAGTTTGTATTGGATGGGAAATAGAAAATTAGCATGCTACATTTTGTTGTTGTTGTTGTTATTAATAAATTAATAATTTTATTTATATATTTTTTTTATTAATAAATAGATGATAAAATAAACAATTCAATGTCTAAATTTTAAAAAATAATAATAATTTTATTTATTTATTATTTACAAATATACTACTGTACATGTGTTATGTTTTTAAAAAAAAATTAAATTAATTTAAATAGGGCATTTTTCAAATTAATATTTAGCACATACATAGGAAAAAATATTAAACTGTAATTTTATTAGTCTATATTTTCTAAAAAATTAATAATGCTTAAACTATACTATGTAAAATTGAATAAATTTATGTTATAAATACTATGTTAACTAAATTATCATTATCATTATTGTTTAACCTAATCGTATCACTACTTTTTGTTCACATTGTTATCGTTGTGGACAGTCATACAATAGATAGGCCGTTACCAACTGTCGACACCAAACTATATGAATCACAATTGGTTCAAATTAACTGTTATGTACAACAAAACACGTCATCGCCCGCAGCGGCCAACTATTGTCCGCCGCCGCCGATACCTCATTGTCCCGCTTGTCCTGAACCGGAACTAAACAACTGTCCTCAATGTTTTATACCCAAACCCGAACCGTGTCCTGTTTGTACGGTTAGTAAACCATGTGCACCGCTACACTGTCCCACGTGTCCCGAACCTGTGTTTTGTCCGCCAATACCGGAATGTCAACCACAGATTGTATGTCCACAGTTGCCACCAGTGCTCAACTGGCACTGTCCTCAGTGCCCGAAACCTGTAACGTGTCAACAATGTCCGCCACCCAATACTTGTCCCACTTGTACAGTATGTCCACTGCAACAACCAACCTTGTGTCCAGTATGCACAACACCAAAGCCGCGTCCACTCATGCCAGTGCTACCGCCAGCGCCCATATGTCCACCGAAACCCATATGTCTCGGTTGGGAAATACCGATTACATATAAAAAGATACTCAAACAGTGTGTCGCCGACAAGCTATCAGAAACTGATGACAAAATGATTAACACAATTGTTGCCAATATTGACGGACAAATTAATGAACTATAAATAAATATATAAATAAATATATAAAGAAATATATTTTTTATTGATTTAAAAATATACATATTTAATTTATCTAATAAAAAATAAAATATTTATTACAATAAAAATATTAGGTAATGATTAACTAGTAGCGTAAATCAATACCAACAAACAAAGTCAAATACAAATAAATATTATATTATATTTTAATATTTAGTATTAAATTAATTTTAAATTAAATAAATATCATTATTAAAAAAATACATTTATTTAGTATTTAGATTTTATCAATTTTTTAAAAATCTAATTATATTTAACAATAAAATAATGTAAATTATAAATAGCATTGTATTATATTACAAAACAATTTATTTATTCAGTTATATAGTGATTTAGTTAGAGAAACCAAATTTAATATAAATTTTAGTAATGATTAAAATCAACAAATTGCAGGGCAACAAACAAACTAATAGAGAAAATTGCAATCATTACTAAAATTTTATAATTTATTTATTGTTTAATAAATAATAAAATATTTTTTTATTTATACTATAAAAAATAATACATTAAAATGTTATTTAATGTAATTTAAAACATTCTTTTAATTGATTAATATTTGTTATATAATTAATAAAAAGATTCTTTAATTGTAATATAAGTTTATCATTAATATACAAATCTTATCTCTTAATTATTGTGACATTTATCAAAAAGTCAGTATTACTTAAACAATATTATTATTATTATTGTTAATATTGTTAATATTATTAAACTCTATATTTAATATTAATTCCAATAAAATATAAATGTAATTATTTATTAATATTTACTTTTTCTTATAACATGAAATTATATTGCATAATAAATCTGATTATTAATTTACTAACGGATTTAATAGATTTATTTCAAAACTACAATAATTATACTAAAAAGGACTTAAGAGAAAAATTGAATAAATTACCTCTCATTGTAGTAAAAATAGTATATTATTTTAAACACAATTAAAGCTTAATATTGATATAAAGATTTTGTTTATAATGTAACTATAAGTAATATAATTGCTTAAAAAGTAAATATATATCAAATTGCTGTAACTTTAGAATAATATGTAATATTAAAAATTGTTTTTAAATTTATATAAATAAATTAAAAGTTTATTAAAAAGTATGCTGTTTGATTTGGCTATAAAATCATTTTCAATTTAAAAATTCATAAAATATATTAAAATTTACATTTTCAATTTATTGCCATTGAGTTTACAAAAATATTATTATTTAATATAATAAAATAATTCAAACAGATCAATATTAAAAACATTACAACATTATTACAAACAAATTATTACAACAAAATTCAAATTGAATATTTAAATTATTATACAAGAGATAGTAAACTTATAAAAAAATTTATTGAGATTAATATATAGTAAATGTTTATAAGTTTATAAAATTATTATAATTATAATAACATTAATGATAAATTAAAAACAACAAATATTTTTAACAAAGTTATTAGTTTTATTAATATCTTAGTTTTTAATTTTTATTACATAAACTAATTATTTAAACAATTTATAATCGTTAACTCTTTCGATTATTTTATATTTAATAGAAAATTGTATTGAATTAAATTTATTGACACCGAAATTAAATAACACTGTAAACAATGAAAACGTAATTAATAAATAGTTTACAAATTTATTGTTACTAAACAAAACAAAACAAAATATAGAGATATTTAACAATAAAATTATAATATACAAAAAATATTTTACCTTAAATAAATGTCTATTTAGATTAAGATTATCATGGTGAAAATTATCAATACAATTGTTTAGGGCATTAAAATAGTTGGGTGTAATTCTATTTATTTTCAATAACCTATTGTATATTACAGTCAATATTGTTGTATATTTGATGACAATATCCAATTGACTGACCCATAGATAGATTAGCCAATTTAATGTATAAAATACCGATAAAATAGCATGATGAGTAAATAGTAGCTTGGTCGAATATTTTGATTTAAATAATTCATCAAATATTTCATCTCTAAAATCGACAAATATTAGCAACGAATACATTAGACTTGTTATTATAAAATATATTATTGACGGTATATTTGATTTATCGATACGATATTTACGATAAAATTCATTCAATTCCTGATTAATAATATCGATGTTATTTGAATTGTGTTTAACATATATATAGGATATTAATAGTATTATATAAGCAATTGTTGATGATAATTTCAATATAATTTCCATCAAATTAGCCGTTAAGTCTATAGTAGATATCGTTGTCATTATCATCATAGCATATGTTGTCAATGCTATACCAGTAAATATTTTGTTCAATGTTTTATGATTATTATTTAGACCAAATTGTAGTTTTATATAATTAATCATAATTTATTGCATTTAATTAGTCTATTTTCTTAGTAAATAAACTTATATTAGTATTAACTTATAAGTTAGTGAATTATATGATATTAACCATTGTTAAAATATTAATATTATTATAAAATCAATCAATAGTTTTAAAAAGTAATACTGTATTAAA